CTGAAATGTTTATCGAAAGGCGAGAGTACATAATAAATACAGAATATTGTGCCTAATTTGATAATAAAAATATACAAATATGATAAAGAGGAGAAACTCTATTATTTGTTTGCATTACTAATTTTACATCCTGCCTATTTTAAAAATTCATTCAGTCATATTATATGCGGGTGCTATAATTTACGGGGGCGAAGTCGCGGGAAAGAATAAAATTATGTATGAGTTACACATAGATTAGTTCCCAAAGTATACCGGATTAAACAAATCTCCAAAGATGAACGACTAAATAAATTTAAAAATAAAATTATCATCAATCTACACTATCTTGATTTGCAAATATGAAATCAATTATTTTGAAAAAGTTTAAATTTTTAGTGGTTAGCGTTTCCTATTAGCCGACACTCGAATAAAAAAAAGCTAAGCATGTCGGCTCGACGTCAACCTTTACACGAAAAACGATACCATGCAATTTAACTAATTGGTGTGGAATTGTTCATAAACTTTTAATGTCGCATGTTTTATACATGAACAAGACAGAACTGGTGTGGTTTTCTAAGGTTACTAACTTTGTCCGTGTGTAGGGGTGGGGGGTAATCTTCGGAAACGCTGATCCGATCATGAACCTACGGTAAGTTACATAATACGCGGACTTTACGCGGGCTGGAGTCGCGGAAAACAACTACCGTCCTATTAATTTCGTCTTCTGTTTCATGTAATACAATATCAGTCCTTAAATTCTTAAGACTCTTTGGTAAGTTTATTAATTAGAGTTTAGATCAATTGTTTACGAAACATAGTTCAAAAATTAAATAAGTAAGGATGACCTCATTATTTAATTTATATCATATATAAGACAAACGAACCAGATATCATAAAATTGCCAAATTACAAGCACACGAGGGGCTATAAAAAGCAGATTATACATTCAATGTATTAATAAACAAAGTTGCTATTAACACTACGCACTTACTGGGACTATCAATCTTAAATAGATACTGTAATAGTCATAATCAGCCTTATGCTAATGTCTCCAGTGCTAGAGTGCAGGTTTTTTTTATAGAACTATGGAGAGAACAGGCATTGCCCACTAAACGGGCACCATGATGATTTTAATGCCTTAAGAAACTCGGAACAACTCAACCAATTTTGGTTACCCATCTAATTACCGGCCTTTGCAATCTGCTTTCCTGCCGAACGCAGTAAAAACAGCTACATCGAGCACCTCTACTTATCAATAGGTAGAGTATGTAATAATATTCCTGGTGTAAGCGATGCATCATCGTGCAAAATAGAACAATGGTTTAGTGCCAAATATCGGTGATGATGACGTGGAAGCCAGCGGGTATCCCACCCGCCCGATGATGGATGACTCATGGGCATGCATCTGGAGTAATTAACCAATGGCTGTGGGCGGGGCAACACGAAGACACAAGACGCCAGTAACAACGCGTCTTAATGTGCTCAGAATTAAACAAGCCTGGTACACATTCAAAACAACACGCTAGCAAACATTTTATTGTTGCCTATGACTTGCACAAAACGTGGATGTGTTGACACGCACTGCGAACGGACTAATTCTGTTGCTATTTTCTCATCAAAATCTCCATTAAAAAAAAACAATAATGCTCTTTCAACTTCCAAAATAAGGAGAGAATTATTTGTAAATGTTATTAAAACGTGCTCTGGTCTTCATATTGTTTCGGAGTAAAACCAAAAACGTGATGTTAGATCACCGCATTTATACCAGAGACATACAACATTTCTCTCATATGAGTTACTGATAAAACATACAATAGAAGCCCACTGTAGATGTTTCCACAATAATCAGTATCTTATCTCTATGTCTTCTCACCGGTTCCAACTGGATTGATCAACAGACAGCAGATCAGGATTGGTCTGTCGAATACTAGAGCAAGACTGATCGGTCTGCTGATCTGTCAGCTTGGCGGATCATTACGTATTTCACTTCCTCGACATTCATAACTATTTTCATACACGCTCGCTTATTTTTATGGCTTCTGAAGTCTGAAATTTATATATGCACAGCGAAGTATAAACGTATATCAGTGTACAAGATAGGATAATTCATATGTGTTGTTGTCTGTTCATTGATTCACGTTTATTGTTAGTTATTATTGTCGTGTCGTCGTGACGCCGTCGTTGATGTTATCGTCATACGGCATTGATGTGTGCAAATTGTTATTATCGGATCTTAAGGCTATTATGTCAACTGGAAGATCCTAAGGTCAACCTTAGAGAAATCGTATCAGCTACTAAAGACACCTAACATTTACTTATTGTAAAATTTATATAAAGTACCTACAAGTTAACAAAAGTATATTTCATATAAGAACCCTTAAAATGGATACATTAAAAAATTGTAGAATCAGATGCGGAATATCAATAATGAATTTAGTTTCCACATCTATTTTTATAAATTACTTTTAAGACGACAACATCACCATTTTTCAGACCCAAGACTAAGAAAAATCTGATTAATGTGACACTTAGAGACAGAAACAACACAAATAATAAAACAATAAGACATGAATGCAAATAAAGGATTACAGTACAACCTCATTTACAAACATTCAAATGAACGATCGTGTTGTGCATCTATTATTATCCTAGTTATATTTTGCAACGACATCCCATCTGGGGTGAGTCATCGCATGTTGATCGGGGATAATTGGGTACAGTGGGTGTGTATAGGAGCGTCACGATTGTGTCCGAAGGCTGCCCGATGGCCAGCTTCGCTACCGTATTACTAATGGGAATCGAATCGCAGATCACTTTGTATTATAACAAATACCGTACTATTATACCTGTCTAGATATAACCTTATATATTTTTAACTTATCAGAGCAATCGTTCATAAGTAAATAACATTTTGCTCATTGAAAAATAAAAATATTAATTTAGTCAAAAGAAAAAATCTACAGAACGGATTTTGATGACATGTCTCGATGATAAGGCTATTTTTCATCCCACTAAATGGTTCCCTAGGGTTAAAAGTTCTATCAAATCATGTATACACAGCAATCCGATGGCGTAGGGCTAGTTATTATATAAATATAAGTTTTTACACTATTCATTAACAACTAAACAGGATAAGTATTGTGTCATATGTATATAGGTTAACGGCTACTGAAGTTTAGAAAATACTGATAGACCGTATTGTGTAATACAATGTTAATAGATAAGAGACTATTATAATACTAAATAATGAGCAGAGCAAATGGGTTACGAATTTCAATTATCCTAAACGCTTACAAACCTGAATAAAATTATATTTTTAAAATTGTATAAGTTTCAATGTTTTTTTTTTAATTGGGGAACTCTCAAGATTCATGATAACGTATTTTACACGTACTAGATGGGTACTTGCTAGTAACCATCTGTGAACAGCAGCCTCGGAGAAAGAGGTGTTAGTGTACGCGAAGCAGTCGTAGTGATAATTTTTGATGGAGAAAGACTACATGATGATGGACAAACTTCCTGGATTCGGAATTATAGAAATGTGTAAGAAACCTATAAAGGCGTAAGATGTGAAGTTAAAATTTACTTCTTAGAGGAAGCTCTCGATTTTCAAGATATCCATTTTTCGTTATGGCCATTGAAAAGGAGCTCATTATGAACTTTTGGCATGAAATATTTTATCAACAATTAAAAAAACAAAATGTTTTGATATCAAGCATTGAACTTACTAAAGCGAAAGCAAACCGAAGCCTATAAATCCAATTTTTTGTTTTATGTTGGAGTCTTTTCTTACTAAATGCACTTTAGCATCAACTGGAAATATCCGAAACTATTGGACCGATTTTAAAGATTCTTTCACCCACGGGAAGCTGCATTAACGAAGGTAACATGGGCTGTAATTTACGCTGACAAAGTCACGGGAAAACAGCTGATTTATACTGATAGAAATGATCCATAGGTCAAAAGAGGAAAGGGTCTACTTCAAAAAATCGGCGTCAGGGTCACTGAGAAATGTTATATAAATGAATTTGAATTGAATTATAAAATTTCGTAGGTACTTCGCAACCGCAGAGGGTCCGTTCGTATCAAACGGCGCACGGGTACAATGACCCCGACGCCCGCTGATTAGCCGGAGTGCAAGTTTTATTAGACAGCATGGGAAAAAGACTACGCCAACGCCTATCGAGAAACCTAGATGCCCTTCTGATAAAGATAATAGTTAGATATCATCGAATATATTGGGCTATTAGCTGAGTAATTGTGAACGTTAAGATCAACTATTAAACTAAAAACATGAAAATTAAGTATTACAATATTCTCTCAACAATATAAAAATTATGAAGTTACATTTAAAACTCAGTTATAGGTATTAAATTTTACATAGAGCAACATTGGGGTGAAGTTTATATGGATTTTTTTCATACCTGTATTTGTCTTTAATTTTGCGGTTCTAATTTTTCCTCATAAAATTTATAACAATAATAAATTGTGTATGGAAAAGGAATTTTAAATGAGAATCTTATTTGTTAACCTACATTACATTTATTGTTTGAGTCATATAACACATATGGCTGTTAATTGAATCAACATATGTATCATATGGACTTGTTCAAGGCAACAATATAATCCTATTGATGAATAAAGCAAATATCTTTATCTAACCACATTAACTTTCTAGTAATAACAACGACCAACCCATCGGAATAATAATAGTAAATTGTTACGGTTCCTACTGAATATTGGTGGGTTTTCTCTCAATTAAACATGATATCTAAATAGTCTTTTTGCCTAAATTATCTTTGGGGCAAACAAAATGGTGGTATTTTGCTTAAATTCACAGCTATGTGAAAAAAAATGTTATTAATTATTTCTTGTATGATTTTTGTACGAGTATTAGTAAATTCTACAATAAAGCAGGCCGACTGAATTCAATTTTCACATATGTGAAAACAGTCACCATATTACCTAGGTGCCCTAATCAGTCAGCATTTCCAGTAAATAGAGCAAGCATATTTTTTTACCTTGCAGTCCTTATGCCTGTAACACCATGTACACCCAAGGAGCAATCCGACTACTGTAATGAGTAGTGCCACTGCTGGCACCACAGCATACAATCCTCCTTGGGAGGGCCAAGCCTCAACCGCTGTTCTGCCGTCATCTGAAAGAAAATAAGATGTAAAATTACTTTACAATGAGAAAAACAGCCACTGACCAACAAAGGTCTACAGTGCGAAATATTGGGAGCCCCAATACTTATCCTAATCTATTAGGTTGGGGAAAAAGTTCTAAACATTTTTTAATAAAGTTTATTCACATTTAATTAAAGTATGTTCGACAACTTTTTGCCATCTCGTGGGCAGGGACATGATCCCACTTTTCATTAAAAACCCGGGACACGTGGTTTTGGCAGTCCTCGGGTGATGTTAACTGTAGAGATCGAAACAGGTGAAAATCCGAAGGTGCAAGATGAGGAATATACAGCAGACACATTAATACCTCCCAGACAAACTCTCATGATATAGAAACTGCACTATACTTCATTCATTATAACATTAGAAAAAAGAGGGTCACAGAAGCAGCAGTGCAGAACATTTTATTTTCAAGATAAATTAAAAAAATATATATTAGTTTTGTTGAAACTTTGAACGTTAGGTAGTCTGAAAGAGTTGGGCAATTTTCCATTTTTTACGATACTTTGGGGTTGAGATGAGGCCCGCATTTTATAAATTCATCTTTTACTCCCAAACCAACATGGAACAAAAACTGAAACTGTCTGTCTGTTATTTTGATAAATTCTAATTGTAAGTGTAATTAGTTAGACTATTGATGAAGACATTGGAAATACTTCCTGAAATGTCAAAGGTAGTATGGGGGCTTAGAACGTAATTTTTGTAGGTCACTCAGGCTTGCACCGGCATTGTCCATATTTAACAAAACTTAACAACAAAAATAAAACAATAACAAATTAATCACGGAAAACGGCAAAACAACAAGAAAGGCAATATTCACAATGGATGACAATCCCAAATTACGATTTTAACAATTATGAATAAATAATAGTCTGACAAAATTAAGAAGCTGTACTGCCGAAACGTTTGAAGGGGTTAGGCAACGTTTTAAATTTGGTAGAGTTATAGTGACATGAGAATCGTGCCGAGACTATACAACCCTGCCTCTCTAGGTTCTTTAAGATGAACACTTTTTATTGTAAAAGTTATTAAATCTTTTAAGATCGTCAAATACTCATAATTTTGTTTAACAGGTAGCTTAAACGACAACTGTTAAGTATAGCAGCTGGTATTTAAGTGGATATGTAGCAAATTAGCCGTCAGTCTTAAAAGTAACATGAATATTTATATTTTGTCACAAAGTATACCATAAAAAGAACCTTATTTAACTTCTGTCTAATGCTATAATGAATAGAGTATAGGTATATAAACGTCACAAATTCTTTTCGCGGCGTTGTAATTAAATTTTAAATTGTATCAAATGTCTTCTTCATCAGATTCACTCATTTTGACATTAAGAAAAACAAATGAAATCACGTATTTTTCTAATAATTAATTCGGAGTTATCTTCTTTAAAATTAAAACTTTTTAATGGTACCGAAACCAGTCTGATAACAGTATAGCTAAATATATTTTATTACAAGTTTATGCATACTATATGCGAAAAGACTTTCCCCAACCTAATATTTTCCAGTGAGTCATTGAAAACTTTTTCTTGCTTTTTGGCTGTTGGGAATACCTATTACATTATTATAATTTTATTCTTCAAGATTAATAACTTAAGTTTCTATAGCCATTACTAAATTTCGCCATTATTAATTGGAGCTGGCGGATGTTTTTCAAGAAGTGTTTGAGGCTTTATAAAAACCATTTTTTAATAGTTTGTTGTAATATTGGAACATTTATAAATAATTAATCAAGGTTTCAGTTATGCAGTAGAGCAGCTGCTCTCTTGGGGGGCAATGGGGATTAAGCACTAAAATGCAAGATTTATACATAGATCTAAGTCTAGTAAAAAAAATGCCGTTTTTACAAATAAATTTAATAACATTTTACATTAGTTACGATTACCTATGCTGATTTAATAAAGTCTTCCTGGCATATATATTTACCAGACCCTGATCATTTGTTTATACGTATTAAAACTAAAAATTGAATTTCATACATTTCTTCTGTCTACGGGCGTCTCCGCAAGTCGACGTCAAAATTGCGCCTATTTTGTGTACGGAGGGTGTGTGGCCGGGGGTTATTAAAGCCGTCTCAGCTTTACTTCCTTGGACAGTTGTAGTGTAGTGCCAAATAACTTCAGCAGGCGAAACACGCTTTGTTGTATTGTAAACATTACTAGTTACGGTTTTGCAGGGTTCACGGCCAGGTCATACTTTTCGCACCAGAATTCAACTTGCTTCAAGGCAGCTTGCATGGTGTTGCAGACTATACGAGCGTGGGTGCCTAGAGTTAATATTGTAAAATCATCGGCATACCCTATGGTGTAGAACTGGCTGGCATTCAGTAGCATAATCAAGTTGTTGACCACAAGGTTCACGGTAGTGGCGAGAGTACTCCTCCTTGGGGGCATCCCCGCGCATCCAGTGCCCCCATACTGTCCTTACCTGTCTCTATATCCCTGTTTGCTTAAATCTTTAAAACTACGCAACGGATTTTGATGCAGTTTTTTTTTTTCATAGATAGGGTGTTTCAAAAGGAAAGTTTTTATGTATAATATATAAGATTACCCGGGCGAAGCCGCTGGTGGAAAGCTAGTTACTTGAAAGATAATTTTTTTAAATATTCGAAATTTCTGGAAAGTCATAATAATAATATAGCCTTTATTACTAATTTGTAGTTTGCAATTTACAATTTACACAGAAATTCGCACATCATTCATTAGTGTGTCCTGCTGACACATAGGCCTCCTTTGACTTCTTCCATTCTTTTCTGTTTCTAGCTGATCTTAACCATAAAGTACCCACTATTTTACGTAAGTCATCAGCCCATCTCTTGAACTGTCTACATCTTTTCTTTTCCGTGTTATATATAACGCGGTATCTATTCGGTCAGGGTTTTTGCCCATCTCACTGCTGGCTGTCTTACAAAGTGGCCAGACCATTTCCACTTTAGTAACTTGCATTTCATATTAACATCCTCGCATTTAGTGATCCTGCATAGATCAGATGCATGCATCTTATCTCTCATTTTGTATTAATGGATGCTCATTTCCATACTTCTCTGGGAAGTTCTTAGTTTGTTTTGTTTTACGGTTAGGGCCCATATTTGACAGTAATATGTTAGTATGGGTGTTGAAGAGCTTTCTCTAGATACTGATTTTGTACTTTTTTTTTTTTAAATATCTTTAAGTGCTCAATATCACTTCCATGTGTTTGTTATTTGCCTGTTGATTTCTTGTGGCATTTGGTTTTTGAAGGATATTATCTGTCCTAAGTAAATATAGGTATTCACATATTCTATTTGTTCATTATCAACAAATATTATATTTTCAATATTTTTTGTCATCATCTTGGTTTTCAACTTGTTGATTCTTAGGCCCACTTCTTCACTTTTGCTAGCTTGGTCTTGGAATATTGATTGCAAAGTCTCTGGGTTTTCTGTTATCAAGACCAAGTCGTCTGCAAACCTAAGATGGTTGAGTTTGCGGCCATCAATATTGATTCCGAGATCATCCCAAGATAGTTTTCTCATGACCTCTTCCAGCACAGTGGAGAACAATTTAGAAGACAGAAGATCCCCCTGTTTTACTCCTCTTTAGATTGGGAAATTTTTCCAGATGTCTCAAGTTTGACGGCCACTGAACTTTTGAAATAAACGTTTTTTATCAGCATTATATATTTAGGTGCGACCCCTTGATGTTCTAGGGCTCTCCAAATATAATGGTGTTCCAAACAATCAAAGGCTTTATTATAGTTGCCAAATGCCAAATATAATATGAACCCAAACTCTTGACTTTTTTCTATGATTTGATTTGGGCTGTGTATATGTTCTATGATTGAATATCCTGCTTGTTCAGGGGGTTGGTGAAATTCCAAGGTTTCCAGATTCTATTAAGGTATTAAATGTTATTTTTGAAAAGACTTTGTATATCTTTATCACCTTATTTGTATATCAAGACAATCATACTATTCAACCACTGAAGAAGGGTGTATTCAGACTCCATAATCACATTATAAAGGTAGTAAAGTATATGGAAGTTCTCTGGTAAATTAATTTTCATAATTTCTTTTGTGATATTGTCTTGTCTTGGCGAATTATCATTCCTCTGTGATCTTACTGCATTTGACACTTTCTGTAATTTCTCCTTAAGTAAAATTGTTACTTCAGGCCAATGTTGCCATTGTCACATTGCGTAATTAATTTTCTAGCTAAGACTTGATACTCAAACTAACAGAGAATATTATAATGATCAACTGATATATATCAACACAAATCAATCAATATATATCATGTTGTAAATCTGTTGATATTTCTAAGTAATACCAGATTAAAAGTGAACAATTAATATGTATCATGTTGCAGTGATATAATAATCAAAATTCTGATTCATAGTCAAACTTCATTTTAACAAATCAATCTAGACTACAGTCACATGGTAGTGCCTCATATAGGAAGATATAAATAGATAATTAAATTATTATACAATATCAATGATATGGGTGTAGACAAAATAAATACTTTTTTTTTCTGGTAGAGTTTAATATACTATTACGGATAATCACACTTTATGCTTACTGTATTTTTTTTAACATTGCTTTAATTAATTATGAAAAAACAAATATTTCATAGTTGTTGTCACATGAACACAAACAGTCTGTAATGAAATGAAAATGTTTTATTGTGATGTGATGTGACGCTCCTCTTTCTCATATCAGAACTTAGGGAATTCAACCTTATGCATTCATAGAGCAACATTTGTTTTAGAGGGCCATTACTTCATAACAATGACACGATAGAAGTGGCATTTTTGTGGAAGATTTTGAAAATAAAATTTATTTTTGGATTATGACTATATGAATGATATTTTTTTAATATTTTTTAAAGACATTTTTCATGTAGGTATATCTATTAAATAAAATTATAAAATAGTAATTTAAAAATTGAAAAAGATATTATAAGTAGAGGTGTACCCTACCTATAAAATCTTTTTTATTTTTAAATTAGTTTATTAAATTATAGTTATTTTTAAACAATATTTATAATTAACTTACACAAACCCTAAAACTAATGTTGCTTTTAAACTAATGACAATTTTAACAGATGTTTGTGCAACTGGCAGTATGTGTGATATTCTAACACATAAAACAGTATAATTAAATTAGTAAAGTTAAAAAAATGACATGGTTTTTCAGAAAAATTATATGTGTCTTTTATTCCAATACACTGTGTTAATTCAACTTAGCAAATGAAATTGTTTATTGATTTAACAGGTTTATACTGAATCATAAGTTCACTGATTAATATATATAAATGAAATATTTATAATGACAAATAGAACATTTCTTCAGTACAGACTGAAATTTATAGCAAGTTAACTAAAGTAGTTAGAATCTTTTATGTGACATTATCTTTCTACCTTCACAATCGCATTTTTCAACAATAGTTGTTTCATCGTTATAATCAGATTAAGATTTGAAAATGTAACTGTGTTATGATACGTACACAGATGTCTTACAACGTTATCGCCGCTTTTGTGTGTTTATTTACAGAAAAACATGATATTTTTGTTATTGAAGTGACTCACCGAAAGGGTAGGTTTGCGGCGTTGATCCAATTGGTAATCCATATCCAAAATGTGAGCCTGACAAGGCCACTAAAAACGCTCCCCATAACATACCCATTATTGATACATTATTTACACAGCCGCATTATTTTTCGTTTCATTATTTATCATTTTCATACATCACCACAACACAAAAAATACACGGTCCACGACAGATTTGCACTATGTTGATTTTACCGACACACCTTGAATATTTACACTAGGAATTAAGTAAAAATAACATGTCCACAGTCTAGATCATTTATTACACTTAAATTTTATTATTTCTCATAAATTTCAAGCACATTTACAATTAAATTGCGCAACCCACAGCTGTACGGAACGCCATTTTTGATTTTTATGTGCCGGTGTTCTAATCAGAGATGTAAAATTCTACCACTGGATTTAAAATTTCTCAAATGGCAACATTTCAACAAATAGTGAAGTCTAATCTCGATTATCGATTTCGATGTAATTATATTGAAAAAGTATCAAGACAAACCATAGATTTACCTTTCTTTTTTAAATTGGCCTTGGTTTGTGCATGGAAGAAATAATTTTCTCTATAGTGAATCGGAAACAGTGTTACCATGTGCACTATAATTATGCTAAATGCACCGTTATCATTAACATTACTTAAGTTCAACATTATCTTCAAAATTTTAGAACTTGTGATCTCACTTTTAGTCAGTAATACCGATATCTGGAAACGCATCTTTAAAAATGAATGAATTGAGATGTTTTGGTAGAGAATTCCCTTCGCGCCCTAGTCTCTAGTTCTAGAGATATCTATCATAAAAAAAGTCTATGCACAGTTTAGTTAATGCTAGCAATTTAATTGGGCGCATTAAACTTTATGTCTACTAACGAAATGTAGAAAAGACTAAATCAGAACATTTACAAAAATTAGGAAATTTTGTTATCTGATACTGACTTATTTTATATGGGTACTTTATACAACATTTTATTTTAAAAAAAAAACTGAAATTAGTGTTTTATTAAAAATAGCAAGAAAATAACAACATGACACTACATCGTTTCTTATACTATATTTTTCCTATACCGTTCACCGTAATTTCTAAAAATCTACTGTATTATTTAGTAGAATCACCACTAGAATAATTTAACTTAAGCATAGAAACTACTCTAAAAAAGCAAGCGAAGGCATGTATTCCCCTTTTTTTTATCCTTACCACCCGTGTCAATTTATTAGAAAGAGATGTATAATATTAGTAATATCTCAATTTATTTGGTTCATTATTTAGGTTGTTACAAAGTTACAAGCTTACAAGTTTAGTATAATAACTATAAATCACCATCGTGCACATTGTAGATATGGCAACACTGATCGGAAAATTGCTTATTCTGTCAAAATATTGCGAAATGTTTGAAGTATCGGAGAAAACTCAAAATTGTTCTAAATCTGAAAATGTGACAATACCTACTTATTAATAAGTAAATAAGTATGTATTATGCCAAAAATACTAAATTTCCATAAGATCCCTGACGAATGCTCGTAAACTTTGATTCAAATTTCAAATAACCTCAAAACACATGTACGGTAAAAGTGTATTGTTTTGTTACCGAGTAGTTAGCACATGTAGAGTTCGTTGCAAGAGCAGTAGCACTAAGAAACTATTGGAATTTCTAGCCGAAATGCCGAAAGTTAATTCAGCCAGAATAGCTGAGGCACAGCGACAAAGACAACATATAGCTAAGAAATCCGAGAAATATTGTCCAAGTACTGTTTACTTGCAAGTACTCGGATCTGGCGCTCGAGGAGCGCCTAACACACTTTATCTTTTCACTGACCAGAAACGGTAAGTATTATTTATTGCATGAGTGTTTTATTTATTTAAACGAATAAGTATTCCATTAAGGTTATAATGTTGTGTTAGACTAAACAATACATAGTATAAGTAATTATATATCATGTTAGTTTAGAATCATTGTTATATGTTCTCAGATACTTGTTTAACTGTGGGGAGGGTACACAGCGTCTAGCACATGAACACAAGGTGAAGTTATCACGGCTAGACCATATTTTTATTACCAGTAAGACCTGGAAGAATATTGGAGGGCTACCTGGCTTATCTTTGACATTACAAGATGTTGGAGTTCCTAATATTACTTTGCATGGACCTGAAGGATTGGCAAGTATAATATTCTTTATAATGAATTAGTTTCTGTGTATGATTTATAGTGCTGGATTAGGTCATCGCTTATGGAACCATACCATACCTTGATCAATATCAGAAACAGCAATAAAAAAATATACTTAATAAAAATCTACTTTGTCCCTGGCACTCTGAAATTGGAACTTGAATCCATGACCTTTTGCAATCTCAAGAGTGCCAGAGATAAAGTGGATTTTAAAGCATTTCTGAATAAGAATATTTTTCAAAATTGATAAGATATAATAATAAAAAATATGTTAACACAGAGGTAAGGTTTTTTGAAAGTTATTAATTATTGTGTTTTAATTTTAGTTCAATATGATAATAAATCTGTTGTTGTTTATATAATAATAATAATATACTTTTTTAATACTACTTGTTACATGTAATAGTTTTATAAACATGTTGATTAAATATATATATATCATTTTAAAAATTTTCAATATATTGTTTGTTATGGTAAGTTATCCACAGAGATATTTGCCTAGTTTAATTGTTATTATTTATCAAAATTGATAGTCATATCATCATATTAATGCTGGAAAGCAAACATATATTTTTTAAATCTAACTTCTGTTTTAATCATTTTCGGATTACCATATTTATTACTAAGGATGTCTATAACATTTAGGTTCTGTGGGTATGTGTTTGCTTTCTAACAACACTACTTTTGTGTGATTGCAGGATGAATTGTACAATGCCACCAGACGATTTGTAATAATGAAAGACATGAATGTTACAATGGCAAATTGTAGTCCTAGTGAAGATTTTGAGGATAGTACAATGACTGTCAAATATGTGTTACTGTGAGTAAATAAATAAACATTTAAGCTATTTATAAAGCTGTTATAATTAGTGTTGATAAATATATGTGTAAAATTATATTAAAATATTTTTATACAGTTTCATTTACCTAATGCCCTATTCTAACTTAAACAAGGGCTTTCTGATATGTACTCTTTTTACACAACAGTCCAAAAAAAGAGTGTATTATGTGAGTTTCTGAATTCTGCCATAACTTTTGAAAGGCATAATCAATATGAATGTATGGGGTATCATTAGAAATGTTACATCATTCTGAATAACACTGGCCAAATATTAATTCAATATGGTCGATGTATGATGGAATTTTAAAAAGGATGGAAAACTTTTTTAACTACAAATTAAAGAGACGGGATGTATAAATGTGTCACAGAACGGTCACCCTACTGCAATGAGAAATTTGTTTAGCCAAGCCCCAATACAACTTATTTCATTTCTTTATTTATTTTTCAGCAATGTTTTTTATTTGAATTTGTTTTACATATCTTTACCCTCAGAACATAAAGTTTAAATTTAAATGGAGAAATTTGATAGATATGTATAACTAATTGTTCTATTGACTTTGTGCTAGATTATGTTCAAAAATTTTTTTTTCTTTGCAGTGGCCCACATGTTGATTTATTAGGAGGCAAAGATGTTAAACCTATAACAAAGAAACCAAAAATAGATTCTAATGCTGATAAAGATTTTGAAGAGTTCATTCATGATGAAACCGATTACTATAAACCGGAAGCCCAAACTGTTGACAGCAAATGCAGCAGGATGTCTAGATCTAAACCAAAACCTGGTCTTGATAAAGGTAATGTAAATATGAATTTAAATTCAAAAAGTATTTTTTATATTTTTGAATTGATATTATGAAACCTAATATATTTAAACTTTATCCTAAATGAAATATAAAATGTATTTTTAGCATTACACAATATTAAATGTGGAGGGTACAGAGTAATGAATCATTACCCTTATTACTAATGAATGACACATTCTCTGTAATAGATTAAACTTATCTGCATAAAGAAAATAATTAATATACTTATAATTATATGAATTTTGTGTTAAACACTGACTTACAGATTCAATGAAGAAGAAAACTGAAAAAGTGTTACATGATTTAACAAAGAAAACTAATTGCTCTGTGGCATTCATTTGCACTCTAAAGGTTAGTCTCCTCTTTACATATAATTAACAATGAAATTGGTAATGTTTTGGACAACCTACAATTTTGTTATCACTGCATTGTACCACCAGGGATGTAAAAGGGCTCCATGACTTATTCTATCAGATATGGTTTTTTTTGTATTCTCCTTCATTATTATCATCTTATTTACATATATATGTATGCAAGCAGCCCAAAAGCAAAAAAAGATACACAACATTTTGTTTTGTTATGATCAGTGGCATACAACTAAGCTGTTCTTTGGTTATCACTATTATAATATAGCTATAAAATAAATTCCTTGTTTTAAACTCAAGAAGAAAAGAATGTGAATTTGCTTTATTGGGGTTTTATTTTTGTACTTTTTTCAATCTTAAGAAGGGGTTTGACTATTGTTCTGGCATTAAATCTCAGTGTAAATTATTTATATTGTAGAAACGGCTGGGCACATTAGACCTGGCCAAGTGCGTGGAGTTTGGCGTGAAACCAGGTCCAATGTTGGGCCAGTTGAAGGCTGGACAGAACGTGGTGCTGCCGGACGGCACGCTCGTGCTCTCCAGCGACGTGAAGACTCCAGACGACCCGGGACCAGTGTTCATTGGTAAATATTTATAATATAAGCAGGGATTCGGCGTGTAGATATAATTCAGAAAAAAATTGTAATAAGTACACAAAGAACATTGAAATTCTGATAACCATTAAGCAGAAAGTATTTGATATTATGATAAACCACTCTGATTAGAGATTTGATTTTTTCTTTATTCCAGTTGTTTCTTTTAATACGGCCAACAGCATATCACGTTATAAAACTGTAAAATTACTCTAATATTAGTTTACTTTTATATTTAACCCACAGAAAACGATTTCGTTCTATACAGGTTGATATTGACCACTTTGGGAAGAGCTTTGCTCGAGATTAAAGTGTACGTTTTATAATTTTCACAGTGTTAGATATACCAGAAATATCCTATTTGAAGGAAGAAGAGTTCTCTAGTCACTTCGACAACGGCTCGAATCCGGCGGAGAATATACCAGCGCTCATAGTACACTTCACACCGCCTGAGGTCTTTCATCATCCAACGTAAGTACAAATGTGGAAGGGTAAATTTCGTGTGCGTAGCAAATGACCAAAAAGAATGGCAATAAGTGACAATATTATTTGCACTTATCACAACACACAAGCTAGTAATTACACCATTGAATAACATAATTAGATTAATTTGAAAAATAATAAAAGCATATTTGCCAGATTATGGTACAAATTATATTAATGTGCAAATTTATACACAATAATACAAGAGATTAGTTTAACTATTGTTATATACACATTTATAAAGTCAATAATTTATTTACCATTTTACTACTTATATACAACTACAACTTTCATTAACACTTAAATATAGTCAAAATTTTACGTTAAATTAACGGATGCACGTTTGATTGTTTATAAAATAAACACCAAATGCATTGTATTTTACACCTTATTGCCATTGAAACAAGACTTATTATACATTGCGAAGATAAGTTTTGCACCGAAAAACTGGCAGAAGTGTCTCAAAACAATTTCTCCTTTTTATATAGGTACAAAGCATTCGTGGCAATGTTCGGTCCCACCACCCGTCACCTGATCCTCAACGCCCAGAATTCTTGTCTTGGCTCGGAAGCGGTTCATAGAACGCAACACAGGCTGCATTTGCTCGATCCTGATATATTCCCGCTGTTGAGAGACGCGAGCGTGGCCGCCGTATGGAATACACACCCTCCCGTACCAAAGACGAATAGCCCTATCAGGATCAAGGGTTTGGAGGAATTGAAGAATAAGGTAAGATGCATAAGATTTTTATGACCATCTAACCCCACGAACTTTTGACCTCCTTACTTTGAATCAAAGTTAGAGTCGAAGTGCATTGAAGTAAAAATTTAGAGTCGAAGTGCATTGAAGCTAAATAAAAATTTGTATGCTTAATCTCAAGACTATAATATTCACATTTCTTCAAAGAGACAGTAAATGAAAATAAATATTTTTTTTTGTTTTCTGGTTATGTTTAATATACCTTAACGATAATCACATTTTTGTGCTTGTTGTACTTATAATATTTTTTAAATTGATTATGAAAAAACAAATATTCTCGTTAACTTGTGACCGCAAACAACGCGTATCGTCACGGTCCTCTCGGTTGTACAAACGTCCATTATGTTTTAATGATGCCTTTAAGCTCTAATAAAAGTCCAATTTGAGTGGGTAATGTTGCTTTAAGCTAATGTCAATTTTAATGGACGTTTGTGCAACTGGTGATCCTATCAGAACTTTGAGAATTAAATCTTATGCATACATGGAACTGTATTAGTTTTTGAGGGGCGAGGAGGTGGCGTCATAGCGACGCCATGACAGAAGTTAGCGTTGTTACGGGAAATTTAGAAATATAGTTTTATTTTTAAATTTTAACTTATTTTATGAATGACACTTTTTTGGATATTTTTCATGTATAATCTATAAAATAAAAATATAAAAAAGTAGTTTACATCCCTATTGACTTAAAATTAATCAATGTTAAGTTACATTTGGCCTCATTTTGTTTAATTTTGCTTCTGTTTGCTGTCTCGCCTGGTCCTCACCTCTCAACCAATCATACGCCGAATACGGGACGAGCTATGAGCGCCTGTGTTTACTTTTTCGTTACTTGAACAATAGGGCTGGTCCCTGCAATTGGAAATACAGGGTTCTTTTATATGTTCGGATAATATGAACCATTTTAACATATTAACATTTAACAAATAAATTTTGTTTAATATTAAGAATTGAAAACTTGAAAAAAATAGGGAAAATATATTTTAAAAATCTGCTAAAACGCATATAGAATTAAGTTAGTTACATAAAAAGTAACAACTTTCATTATAACAACGCCCATATGTTTTTCGCTACCGGGCGGCGTGATGTCACTTCGTGGTTTGCATTTGTAGGGAGCATTTTCAGCCGACCAACTACAGTTACACACAAACTTAGCGTCGTATTTTCAAAACTGACTCGCAGACATGCTGTTACTTCTTACTGTTACTGTTGGTTATGGGAATATTAACAATATATTAAACACAGTAGTACTAGTTTATAAAGGTGGCGGTGTTCCATAAGAGAAAGTCGATTTTAGATTGCGCTCGCGCAGTTCCAGAACATTATAAACATGGAGGGGTCGTGTAAGGGCGACGGGGAACAAAGACATAGCGACGGACCGGACGAGGAACAAAACAAATTTGATTTGATTGCTGGCAGGACTCTTACCACCTTCCACTTGAGACCCAAGAAAGAACTGGACAGGTGAGACATGATTTATTTATTATCCTCAATAACCTATTAATTCTTACTGCTGGGTTGAAATCTTCTTATATGGATAGAATTACAAGAGAAGAGGCCGAAGGGGCACAATAGGTATTAGTGGGTTGATGTAGACTGAATTAAAAATTCACCTCCTTAAAAGCATTTAAGATTTTTGATAACCCATCCTGTTGTTAAAAAAATATTGAATTTTCTTTCTTCACCAGTGGTTCTTAACTATTTTGGTTACCCAAAGTATAAATATATATATATATATATATATATATATATAGACGCTGACTTATTTATTTATATAACATGGTTAATATAATAATCGTATCTACTAAACTTTTGTGGTTAGCTTGTTGTTTGTATATTCTTTTAAAAAATTTCGTGACCTATTCCAATATCACATATTTTTGGTCACAACTTGAGGTTAACAAACACTATTAATAACTTATAATTAAGGACAAAATTAATTAAATATACATGAATGCCGTTGTGTGCAGGTCCTCTGAACCGAAGTTACACGTCCAAGATTATATTCAAGAGGCAATGGACGTGGATGGATTCGCCGCTAGTTTAGATCACTTCAGGCGGCAGGTGGAAGGCATGCGGTACGCGAAAACTGACTGCAAGGAGTACCCCAAGGTTGTGTTCTTGGGCACAGGCTCTTGTATACCAAGCAAAACTAGGAATACAAGCGCAATTGTGCTACATGTCGAGTTAGTATTTACTATATATTTTATATTTTCAAATCAATATGATTGATTTAATTAATTTTGTAGTCATGTTATCTATAATTTAATATTTTTGTATATAAAATGAACATCAACACAGTATTGTAACATATAATTATGTATTTATACAGGGTTATTTGTTAAACACCATCTATACCTATAGCTATCATTATAAACAAAAATGTTTGATAAACCATAACTCAATACTTTGAACAAATGTTTTTTTTTTATTTTGATTGTAGCGTTAGTGTTTAGTGTTTTAGTGTTTTTAAAATGGCCCTGTATATAAAAACTATAAAATTGATCTGATATAATATATTAATAGGTATATTATAAAGAAAAAAGATATTATTTGATGCTGAATCTATTTTAAAATTCTTTCATGTAGATAATGAAGTTACGGGGGTAAAAGGCAGTTAATTATAATTTACAAGTCTAACATTTCATCATAAGTGACATTTAAAATATTTCATAGGCTGTTTAGAGTAAATCGCTTGAGTAATTCGACAATGTTGACTAAGATGTCGGGTTAAACACCAGGTTAGGTTAAGGTTATAAAAGTTCGAGTTCTGAAACGCGCGAATTTTTTAAGTATTATTTATTTTAAAAGACTTGCAACACACTCAATTTGCTATTAAATAATTTGTTTTATAGTGACAATCGGTCCATCTTAATGGATTGTGGTGAGGGAACGTTTGGCCAGCTGGTCCGTTTCTATGGACCCAAGCGCGTGAGTGCTTTCCTGAGGACACTGAAAGCTGTATATATTTCACATTTACATGCAGATCACCATATTGGTAAGAAATTAAAATATTGTAAATTTTTTATTTAGCGTGTTGCTGAATAATATACCTTTCTGGTGCAGAGTAACATATATTGGAAGAATAAGCCATTTCTTTCACCCACCATTGTGACCCATTGACGATGATCTAACTTCAGGTGTAGTTGAGATTAACAGCTATTATTTTGTCGTAGTAGAGAGTAATGATGTGGTTCTGAGCTGAGTTCCCGGGTTCGATTCTTGGTCGGGTCAATGTCGAAAACGGAGTTTTCTATGTTGTCCCGCGTGTTGTTGGTACCTTCGTTGTCTCAGATACACCATAATACGAGGGCATTAGCTATTCATCTTGAAATCTCAGCAATGTATGTGATGTTGTCTAATATTTATTTGTTTAATCGATTCTGAAATTCATTTCTTTCGCCTCCTTTCAGCATTATATGTACGGTTAAAATAAAAATAATATATAATAAATTCTAGCTTCTTGTCTTGAAGAGCTCGATGGCACAGTGGTTTGTATTTTTGATGCAAAATTTCGGAGGTTAAGTTACTTTCTCAAAACTCAGTCATTGGATGGATGATCAAAAATTTATTATATCGAGCTTTTACTTGACTCGGAAAACATGTTAAGCCATTGGTCTCGACTCCATCTGCAGTCGTTAACGTCTACCAATCCGCACTGGGCTCACGTGATTTAATAAGGCCAATTCTATCAAAATGATTATGGACTTAGGCTTTTGATCTTAACATCAACTTGTATGTCATCCAGGTTTGATCAGTGTGATACAGGCAAGAAGACAGGCATTCGCTGAAGTGAATCCAGATAATACCCCAGAACCTTTGTATTTGTTAGCACCCGGACAGATATTCACGTGGTTGTCTATGTACGATCAGCAGTTTGAGAAAATAAGGGGGGACTTCACGCTGGTGCCTAATCAAACATTGGTGAGTGAAGATATCAAATAAATTAAACGTATTTCGACCAATTATTAACTGTAGATCGTTTATTTTATATTTTTAACTGATTCCAACACATAATTCAGATATAATAATTCACCACAAGCGGTATATTGGCGTTAATCTCATGTTATCTCAATGAATGAATGAATAAACACTTTATTGTACAAGTAACAGTGAGAGCTCACTGACAGATAGTGATACCCGTAATACGATCGATTAATAGTAATATCCGCGGTATTCGATAATTTATTCAATAATTTTCGATAATTTATTCGATAGTCTTAACTGTAGATACAGGTATTTAGTTATTGCTTATACATAAATAATAAGGTATATGTACTTATGGAGATTTTTCATTGTCAGCTCCAAGACGCGTTGAATACGAACAAGGAAATGACGTCAGCCGTATTAGCCAATATCGGCGTGCATCAGATCCGGACATGCTTGGTGTCTCACTGCCCTAACGCGTTCGGAGTTGCTATAGATGTGGACACGAAATATAAATTCACTTACTCTGGTGATACGATACCGTGCGAGGAACTAGTCGAGATAGGTGAGTGGATGCTTCGTAGAATATATTCAGGACTAGCTATTGCCCGCGACTTCGTTCGCGTGGTAAAGTTTCTATTATATCGTGTAAAATATCTGAAATGCCCTAATGTCATCCCCTATTTTATCCCCTTAGGACCACTCCTAAGGGGAACTAAAAAAAATTGGTAAATTCCACAATTTACCAAATTTTTTTTTCTCAATTTATCAACTTTCTTAGGGGATGCCAACGTCCTAGTAGCTTTAAACATACAAAATCTCAGCCCGATCGGTTTAAAATTGACAATGTTTCATACAAACTTTCATTTCCTATTTTATCCCCTTGAGGATAGAATTGATCGAAATCCTTTCTTAGCGGATGCCTATGTCATAACATCTATCTGCATGTCAAATTTCAGCCCAATCCGTCCAATGGTTTAGTATGTGCGTTGATAGATCACTATGTCAGTCAGTCACCTTTGAGTTATATATATTAAGAAAAGGCACTTTAATTTCATCATCATCATCATCATCATCAGCCCTTTTACGTCCCCACTACAGGGGCTCAGGCCTTCCTTATGGATGGTTAAGGAGGATAGGCCATGACCCTCCACGCTGGCCCAATGCGGATTGGAGGGTATTAGCGACCGCAAATGCAGCCGGGACCAACGGCTTAACGTGCCTTCCGAAGCACGGAGTAGCTCGAGATGATATTTTTTTTGGTCACCCATCCCGTGACCGACCCTTGCGAAAGTTGCTTAATGACAACGATCGCGGGCCGAGGCGCTTATCCAATACGCCACCGAGCTACTTTAATTTCATACTTATATTATAAAGAGGAAAGATTATATTGTTTGTTTGCAAAGAATAGGCTCTAAAACTAGTCCGATTAAAAAAATTCGGTAGGTTGAAATTAACAAGTTAAAGTGTATTTATTTGATGCTTTATTATACACAGGGTCTTTTGTGAATTATTAACAACCTTACAAGATGAGATAGTTAACTTCGTTAACAAAATTTGATTTACAAATAACCTAAGCTAATTTTTTCAAATTTCAAATGTACTGTCGTAATATTTATAGGTCTATGGTTTTTATTTTTAAACGGAGAGCGACGTTATTCTCGCAAAATGTGCAAAGTGTGTACGTACGTATCTACGTATTAGATACTAATTTCTCTAAATTTAAAGCAAAATTTTTTTTTTTTCATGAATGCACAATTTGACGTTTTGTCAAAAGTCATAGCAAAAGCGTTATAATTATAATGCTAGTTATCTCGGTCTGAGAGGTTGTTAGTGTTTATAAATTACTAGGGCTGCTATAAAGTGTAAGTATGATTGAACCATAATGTGGGGATGCTCTGTGCATAGACAAGTTGTGCTACGTGGTTTAAATATATCGGGTATGTCGGGTTTAAATGAGTTATCTATAGACATTCTAATTTAATTTGTGTAAATTAATATCGTTAAGCCCGATTTATCGGAAAACTTACGATATAGCTGATATATCGTTATTGGTTGCATATCTACAAATAACCCTGTATAAAACAAAATGATAAATCAGGTCGGGACTCCACGTTGTTGATTCACGAAGCGACAATGGAGGACGAGTTGGCCGACGAGGCCCGTACCAAGATGCATTCTACCACCAGCCAAGCGATAGACATCGGTAAACGGATGAACGCTCGGTACACAGTATTAACACACTTCAGTCAGCGGTATGCGCGGCTGCCGCGACTAAGCCCGCATATACTCAACGACAATCACAGCGTCGGCATCGCCTTCGATAACATGCAGGTGGGTTTAGGTATCATTAGTTTTTACCATCGACAGATGGCGCTAGGTACTAATTTTTAAAAAGATTATAATGTCGCTATTAAATATTTATATTTCAAGTTTAAATGTCGAAAAAAAAGGTTTCTCGTTTCAGATCCGGAACAAAAAGACAGATAAAAAATGAAAAAAAAATGTTGTATATCTACCGTGTATACATACATATAAATTTAATAAAAAGCGCTTATTTTCAGATTAAAAAAAGACACTCCAATATTATTTAATTCCTTTAGATTATTTCGTCATATTTATAAATATCTCGTTCACAATAAAGAATGCCGGCCTAAGAGTAGCACCCCCCCATATCCTCCCGTGGGTGTCGTAGGAGCCGACAGAGGGATTATACGGAAGGCGGGCAGCAGCGCCTCCCGGTATCATCTACCACCACCTACTGCGATCCCCAAGTCGCCTGCCAAGCGTGGGGATTATGGCAACCCCCCCCCCCCTCATGATGGACGACAATTATGTACGGCCCCCAGTCCCCGGCAGCCCCTCTATTCCTGTCTCTGGTAGCGGGACAGGTAACGGAGGGGCAGGGGGTGCTAAGAATCTCCGGCAGATTAGGCGCTACCAACACAAACGGACTCTGGCCCTGGCAACATACAATGTCCGCACACTGAGGACTGACGTGAAGCTATTAGAGCTGGAGGAAGAATTGAGCAAGTTGCGATGGGACATAGTGGGATTATCCGAAATCCGAAGAGAGGGCCAGGATACGGTAATCCTTGAGTCCGGTAACATGCTCTTCTTCCGGGAAGGAGATCAAAAATCTCAAGGTGGTGTTGGGTTTCTCGTTCACAAGTCCCTCGTGAACAACGTGGTGAAGATCGATAGTGTGTCGAGCAGAGTGGCGTACCTTATTCTCAGAATTACCGAAAGGTATTCGCTGAAGGTCATACAGGTTTACGCCCCGACCTCTGCACACTCCGACGATGAGGTAGAGGCTATGTATGAGGAGATTTCTGAAGCCATACATACGACTAATACCTACTTCACCGTTGTAATGGGGGACTTTAACGCGAAGCTGGGCGCTTCGAACGGCGATGAGTTGAGGGTGGGTCGATTTGGGTATGGGCGGCGCAACCACCGGGGCCAGAAGCTGGTCGATTTCATGGAGAAGGAGGGACTCTTTGCGATGAACTCCTTCTTCCAGAAGAGACCCTCCAGGAAGTGGACCTGGATGAGCCCTGATGGTTCGACAAAAAATGAGATCGACTTCATCATGACAACCAGAAAGCACATATTCAATGATGTCTCCGTGATCAGCAGGGTGAAAACCGGTAGCGATCACCGAATCGTTAGAGGCACATTGAATATCAATGTTAAGCTCGAAAGGTCACGTCTGATGAAGTCTACGCTCCGTCCTAGTGCTGCTCATATCATGGACCCCGAAGCCTTCCAACTCCAACTGCACAATCGCTTTCAGTGTCTAGCTGAATGCGAGTCTGTGGACGAAATAAACAACGGGTTTGTAGAAACAGTCCAAGCTGTGGGGTCTAAGTTCTATAAGGCCCCGCGCCGTATTAAATCTCAAAAGCTCTCAGACGAAACGCTCAAGTTGATGGCGGACCGGAGGGATATGAGACTGCAATCTTCAACCGATATGTCGGAATATGGTCGACTTAACAGACGAATTTCCAAATCGATGCGACGCGATCTGCGCTCCTATAATACTACACGTATTAGGGAGGCAATAGAGCGGAACCAAGGCTCCAAAGTGTTTGCACGAAATTTGTCTGCTGGGTCGAGTCAGATGACGAAGCTGAAGATCGACGACGGCAGGATCGTATCTTCAAAACCGGAGATTCTGATTGAGCTTGAGAGGTTTTATGGACAGTTGTACACATCATCACAACAACCCGTTGAAAGCAATGCTCAGGACACCAGAGCAAAGCTGACCCGACATCACACCGAGGATATCCCAGACATCAGCCTGTACGAGATTAGAATGGCACTCAAACAGCTGAAGAACAACAAGGCACCGGGGGATGACGGAATCACTACTGAACTTTTGCGAGCGGGTGGAAAACCGGTACTCTTAGTCCTCCAGAAATTGTTCAATTCCGTCATTCTCGAGGGTACGACGCCAGAAGCGTGGCACAGAAGCGTGGTTGTGCTCTTCTTCAAAAAAGGTGACAAGACCTTGTTGAAGAATTATAGACCAATCTCGCTTCTGAGCCACGTTTATAAGCTGTTTTCGAGGGTCATTACGAATCGTCTCGAACGCCGGTTTGATGACTTCCAGCCTCCCGAACAAGCCGGTTTCCGAAAAGGCTTTAGCACCATAGACCACATACATACGCTGCGGCAGATTATACAGAAGACCGAGGAGTATAATTTGCCACTTTGCTTAGCGTTTGTGGACTATGAGAAAGCCTTCGATTCAATCGAAACCTGGGCAGTACTGCAGTCCCTCCAACGATGCCAAATCGACTACAGGTACGTCGAAGTGTTGAAGCGTTTGTATAGCAACGCCACAATGTCGATTCGCTACCAGGAAGAGAGCACGAAACCAATCCAATTGCGCAGAGGCGTGAGACAGGGAGATGTCATTTCTCCGAAACTGTTCACGAATGCATTGGAGGACGTCTTCAAGCTCTTGGAATGGGGCGAATACGGCATCAACATCAATGGCGAATACATCACTCACCTTCGTTTCGCCGATGATATAGTCATCTTGGCAAGATCGATGGAGCACATCAGTACAATGCTCAGCGACCTGAGTATCGTTTCCAAACAGGTGGGTCTTAAAATGAACATGAACAAGACGAAAATCATGTCGAATGTCCATGTTGCACCCGTACCGGTGGTCATTGGAACTGATACTCTCGAAGTTGTCGATCACTACGTGTACCTTGGACAGACAATCCAGTTAGGTAGATCCAATTTCGACAAAGAGGTCGCTCGAAGAATCCAACTCGGCTGGGCAGCGTTCGGGAAGCTACGCGATATCTTCACGTCCAAATTACCACAGTGCCTAAAGACGAAGGTGTATAACCAGTGTGTGTTGCCAGTGATGACCTATGGCACTGAAACGTGGTCCTTAACTGCTGGCCTCTTAGAGAAGCTCAGAGTCGCTCAGCGAGGCATGGAGAGAGCTATGTTAGGGGTTTCTTTGCGCGATAGGATCCGAAACGTGGACATTCGCCAAAGAACTAGAGTGACCGACATAGCTCGCAAAGTTTGTAAGCTGAAGTGGCAGTGGGCAGGCCACATCGCTCGACGAACCGATAACCGATGGGGACGAAAGGTTCTCGAGTGGAGACCACGAACCGGAAGACGCAGCGTGGGTCGACCCCCGACTAGATGGACGGACGACATCGTCCGAGTCGCGGGCGGCCGCTGGATGCAGCTGGCGCAATGTCGTCCGTCGTGGAGTTCAAAGGGGGAGGCCTATGTTCAGCAGTGGACGTCTTCCGGCTGATGATGATGATGATGATCTAAACCATTTTATTTTTTTACAGATAACAATGGCTGATCTGGAACTCCTGCCACATATGTACGCGCCTTTACAACTCATGTTCGCCGAACACTGCGTAGAAATGGAATTGAAAGCTGCCAATCGCGCCCGAAAGAAGGAACGGAGAGCTTCGTCGCCGAACATTGCCGCCGGTACTGTGCGATCATATTCCACAGACTCTATACATAACACAGACTACAACACACGACAACCGAAAAAAGCTAAACATAGAGAGACAAAAGAGGATTCACAGTCCTCTTCTCACACTGACACACTAGAAAACACTAAAAATATTACACTTAATGACACAGTAGATTCACAAAATAATGAAAAACAAGACTCTGACATAGACAGTAAAGAAAAAGTTAACTCAAGTGAAACAAAATCTTCACTAAATCCTGATGTAGATATGCTTATAGATAGTAGCGTTAGCTAGCTATAGATATTAATATAAACGCTTTTACAAAGTCTTCAAACTGCGACCATACCAATCTATAATAGTTAAAGAGGACGTTTAGATAGAGTAATAGTATGGGGTACGGGTGAAAGGGGCGTGGCATCTAGCCCAACCTATGTACGCTCGCTTGGGATATACCAATGTGACACATTATTATTGTTGTATTTTGTAGGTATATTATTCTTGCAATAATGTTTATATTATGTGCAAGTAAGTGGTTATCTCTTCTATCGACCTATTTATTATAAATAGTGGATTGAGCTGTAAAGGATGTACTTGTGAGATAGCGTTATATCCATATTTATAGTAAAATCACACCTACCATCATCTCTACAAAAGTTATCGTCTCAATTAATTGCTTTTAAAAATAATTCACGGAAATAAGATTCTTATTTATATCGGAATAAAAGCTATTATTGCTTTAACATGTAATGGTAGACTGTGATAGGTTATAATATTTAGTTAGGCTTATTGAATTTTACGCTGTTATTTATTATAGTAGCTGTTTTAGTGCCTAAAATTATATTCTAAATATGATTTGTCATCTAATTAATTTTTGGTAAACATCGGTTGATATAACTCGCTCATGTAATAAACAATACCGAGTATTTTGTCACATATTTTTTATGTCTTTAATTGTATATTGTAGTTTAGATCATATTGACATGGCATTTAGATCAATATTCATAGTAGTTCGAATTGGTGCTTATGCGATGATATATTGAAACTGATACATTATAATTTAAATACCAAAGGATGAATGTAGTTATGGTATTGAGTAATTTGAATATAGAAAACAGATAATTGCATTGAATTTGATAATTGCATATTATTAGTTGATGAAGTTTTGATATCAATCGGAAGTCTCAATATATTGTTCAAAATCAACTTCTATAACATTCAAAATTCTTTATGTAATTCATAAATACTCATGTTGTTATTTCTTTTAAAAAGGTAGCTATAGACAATTTTGGAATTAAATAATAATTTTTTTTATTATAAACCCAAAAAGGTTTATAATACAATTTTTTTACTAATTGTACAAAAGTAAAGTTGCTGTGATAAGCTTGATTTGGAAATTTGTTTCAGTTTTGTAATGCACCTTAATATCAAGGCATTATGCTTCAAAATTGTTTTAACATAATGTTTCAAACTTGGTATGATAGTTATCGTAAAAGGAATAAAATCAATCGATGTTCTTTTAGTTTGTATGTAATTGTGACTTTAATAGGATTCATTAGGTTATAATACATTTATCACATTGAATTGTGTTTTTATTTATATCTTATATGATTAATTTATTATAATTAAAACTTTTCTATAAAAGTCATATATTTTATTTGGTTGTAATTGAGAAAAATGTTTGATGCCGGCTTAGTCGTGGTATCTTTTTGTTAATATATGTTACTCGTGTAAAAATAAAGTAAACTGAGTTAACCATAGACCTTTTTATTGAAAACCTATATAAATATAATAAAATTTATATAAAGAACTAGAATTATTTATTCTTTAGGACTTTTATACAACTAACAGACATTTAGAATCCTTTTCAGGTTCCGTGTCAATTATTTTAATGGCTATTTTGTGTTAACCACAATCCTGCCAATTTCACGTAGGAGACCACTACACGGTATAATAGATTAATATAATCAATTTGGAATAGGTAGTAAATCTCTTTCTAGGTCGCTTTACCTAAAACAACACAACATAAACTTTGGACGCCACAATTTTAATTTAACTTATAAACATATACAGGACATAATTAGTGGATATTAGACACACAGATTAGCTATGTTAGAGTTTTAATTTATTGATACAGATAAATTTTGTTAGTGCTTTTATTATTGGGGCCTCTTTAATAGACCTTAAGAGCAGTTTAATATTAAGCGGACGTGGGATATCTTCGGGTAAGAAATCGTAAAGGGAATGGGGAGTATTTGGGCAATTGAAAAAAATGTGATCCGGTGACCCTTCATCCAGTCCGCACTCGCAGAGAGAACTATCCCGAACTTTAATTTTAGCCAGATGTACCGGTGTGCAAACATGGCCAAGTCGGAGGCGACAAATGACGGAGATAACTTTTTTTGGGACATTATTGAGTTCGAAAAACCACGGTTTACTAGGTATAAAAGGTTGTAGATCGAAATAGCTTTTGCCAGCTTTTGACCTCGTATTCTGCCAGTCTAGAGTCCAGGACTGCGTTAGATGGGTGCGTACAAGAGGAATTAGGTCCATATGAGGGACCTCCAAGTGATTAGAAATTCCTGTAGTAATTGCGTTTTTCGCGCAAGCGTCAGCTGTTTCATTACCATTTATTCCACTATGCCCAGGAATCCAGGCAATTACTATACTGATACCCTTTTTCTTGCATCTCAATAATGCTTCTCTAATTTTAAGAACGGCAGGGGTTCGGGACTTTGAGCGGAATGGATTGGCCTCAAGAGCTTGGAGGCAGCTAAGTGAATCTGAGAATATTATAGTTTTGTCCAAACTGTGCGATTCCGCGTACAACACGGCCTCCAGAATAGCGATACACTCTCCAGTATATACAGATGAGAGGGTTGGAAGGCGAAAATTCAATATTATTCTGTAATTTGGGATCCACACTGCGGCACCGACGTGCCCGTTTACCGTAAGTCTAGAGGAGTCCGTGTACATCGGTATCCATCCTTGCCAATTTAGACAGAGAGTTTCTGAGAAATCGTGAGAAGCACTCGGAGAGTTCTTTTCAACTCCAAAGTTAAGACGGATATCCGGTTGAAATATAAGGGAGTAGAAACTGTTCTGATAGAGGGGGTTGACGGCAAATTTCTCCATCAGAATAGAGGGCCTATAAAATTTATTGAAGCTTACTACAATACAAGGGAGGTTCCGGGTCTCCGTACAAGATTCGTATGTATCAGCCAGTGTAAGTAGTTTTGGGATGAGCGGGTGGGAAGAATTGTAAAGTATTTTAAGTATGAATTTGTCACATAGGTATTGCCTGCGTAAATACAGTGGAGGCTCGACGCACTCTACTTGGAGGGAATTTATTGGGGACGACTTCATAGCGCCTAAGACAATTCTCAAAGCTTTGCTTTGGACTCTATCAATTTTATCTAATGCCGCCTTATTACAAGGTTCTAAGAAGGGAGTACCATAGTCAAAGTGGCTACGCACTATGGCGTTGTATAGAATTTTTTGTGTCATAGGATGGGCTCCCCACCATACACCTGATAGCGCCCGTAGCACGTTCACATTGCGTTCTGTTTTCTTTAGGATTTGATCGATATGCGGGTTGCCTGTAAGTCTAGAGTCCAAAACTACCCCTAGGAATTTGACCTGATTTTGTAAAAGAATTAGGCTTCCATTGTACATCAGATTAGGATCGGGAATAAAACGTTTTTTTGTGAAAACGACAGCGCTACATTTCTGTACTGAGAGTGATAAACCATGATTTCCCAGCCAGTCTCCTAGATAAAACAGCGCTCGGTTAAGGCGGGATGTAGCTTCTGGGATAGATTTGACGCTTATATACAGAGCTACGTCGTCGGCGTATTGTAAAACCTCACAGAAAGGCTTCACTGTACTTTCTAGATCGTGGGTATATATGCTGTACAATAAAGGACTAAGTACAGAGCCTTGTGGTAGTCCGTTCCATATGGTTCTGGGAGGAAGGGAAACATTTTGAAATCTAATGGAGATTGATCTAGAAGAGATAGTATTGCAGATGATGCGTACCAATTTCGCAGGGATACTCAGCTGTTGCAACTTTTGCCTGAGTATTGGAATCTGGACGTTGTCATATGCCGATGCTATGTCTAGAAAAATTGCTACCATGTACTCTTTGTTTTTGAATGCCAGACGGATGTCTGTTGTAAGGGTTGCTAGGCTGTCATATGTACTGTATCCTTTTCTAAACCCGAATTGGGATTTGGCGATGATATTCTGGCTTTCCACTATCCATTCTAGTCTATTTCTGATAATATGTTCCATAATTTTAAGGAGAGCTGACGAAAGAGCGATGGGTCGATATGAGGCGTGTTCAGAGGGATTCTTCCCAGGCTTGAGGATAGGGATTATAATTTGATTCTTCCAAGACTCTGGTATAATGCCGTGCTCATAGAAAAAGTTGATCAAAGATAAGAAAAGGTGTTTTGTTTTATCTGGAGCTCTAATTAAAAATGAATATGGGATGCCATCAGCGCCTGGAGAGGTGTCTTTTAAGCCTTGAAGTGCTCTATGTAGTTCTTCGAATGTAAAAGGCCCATCTAGGTCTCCATTAGTGGGAGTCATGGAGTTGATTTCTACAGGAAAGCAATCAATGTAAGGAACATAAGGGGGAGCTAATTTATCTGCGAACGTTTCTAGCCAGTTCGAGGAGTCATTTGAACTGCTGTTGGGTGAATTTAGGGAACCGCGAAATCTCTTAATCTGTTTCCAGACCAAGGAAGAGGGGGTTCCTGGTGATAGAGACTCACAGAATTTGAGCCATCCTTCTTTTTTTTTTGATTAAGTATTTTTCTAGTTTTGGCTGCTGTTTTTTGATAGGCCAAGTAGTTTTCCATAGACATTGTACTATTGTATTTTTTCTCCGCTTTTTTACGCTCCGCAATAGCTTCCGTACAGTCAGAATTCCACCAGGGGGGATATATTTTTCTATTTGGAGAGTTCTTTTTTAGAGGAATATGTGAATGTGCAGCAGAGAGCAGTGATGTGACAAAGTCATTATATATATTAAAGCAGTTTTCAACGTTAATTAGAGGGAGGTTATCTTTATCATCCAAAGCCGAAGAATAGGACGACCAATCTGCCTTATTGAGTTTGAATTTTAATAAAGGTGGAAGTCGTATGGGCGAAGATAATTTGTCTAACAAAGTTAATAAAATAATAAAATGATCACTTCCGTAAGTACTATTGAGGGTGCACCATGATATATTGGAAGCTAGAAAAGGGGAGCAGATTGATAAGTCGACCGCAGAGGGGTTTTGATCAGGACGGGCCCTTCTTGTGGGGCTGCCATCATTGAGAAGACATAAATTTTCTTCATCAAGGATATCTAGTAATAGTGAGCCACAATGGTCATTGTGTGAAGATCCCCAGGAAACATGATGGGTATTAAAATCACCCATTACAAGCACAGGGGGAGGAAGTGATCTAATAATGTTTTTTAATTCTTCCATTAAAGTATGGTTTGGATAAGGGATATATATTGATACACAAGATATATTAAAAATCCTTGCAGCAACAGCGTTTATGTCCTGGCTGTGAGGGGGTAAGTGAAGTTGATAGAATGTTAGAGAGCTAGCTATGAGAAGACTGCAGCCACCACCTAAGTCATCCCTGTCATCCCGAAGACAGCTGTACCCGGGCACATTAAACAGAGTCCCAGGTTTCAACCATGTCTCCGTAATGGCGAGGATGGACGGATGGAATTCATTAATAATGGAAAATAGGTCATGTTTTTTAGGTCGTAGGCTTCTACTGTTCCATTGCACAATCTTGGCCATTATTTATATTATTTTGTATAAATTTATTAAGTTCACTAAGTCTTGAGGCAACGTTGGGCGGTATGGGTACATCATCAAATCTGTTGAGTAAGTTGAAAAGTACAGACCAAAGAATTTCTAGCAGATTGTCATTAGGGGATATGTCAATGGAACTAGAAGAATTATTCAAAGCGCATCCGTTGGGCGTAGTAACTCCATTATTATTAATGATGTTTTGATGGGCTTGTTTGTCATAGCCTTTACTCAAATTTTGTTTGGGTCTTGGTTCCTGGGAGACAGTTTTCCTGTAGGAAATCTGAGATTTTTGAGGCGATTCTTGATATACGTGGATATTTGGTTGGGTGGTTATAGGGGTCTGTGCAATGTCGGAATATAACCTCCTGACAGGAGGAAAGTTTGCAGCTGCCTCTTGGTATGAGACATTGTTTTGGGACATAGCGAGTTTAATAGCCTTTTGGCGTGATTGTTCAGGACATAATTTATTGTTAGCAAAGTGTCTAGAAGAGCAATATAAACATGTTGCATCTTTTTCAAGTATCTCACAGCTTTCTCCACGGTGAGGTTGAGCACATCGGAAACATCTTGGTTTAGATCGACATTGAGTGCTGATATGTCCAAACCTGCAGCAGTTAAGGCACTGAATAGTTGGAAGTTGATACGGTTCGACTGGCATTGATGTGTGGAAAATATATAGTTTTGGGGGCAGAACTTGACCTTGAAATGTGAAGACCACTGTGCGAGTAGGAATCCATGATGTCTGATCCTCAGAAACATTTTTCCTGCTGAGACGTCTTGCTTTTAACACTGGGCCGCAGCCAACGGGGACAATGAGAGACTCAACTAATTCTTCCATAGACAAATCTGTAGGGATGCCTTTAACAATACCCATGCGGGTAATATTGTAATTTGGTATAATTGCTGAATATTTGTGAAGTGTGAGACAACCGTTATCAATAAATTTATTTGCATCTAAGCCGGTCTTAAATTCAATAGCAATTCTATTCCGACCTATTCTTTTTACACCATCATTGGTAATGTTTTTAATTTTATTTTTGACAAGGAACTGCCCAAATTTGATGGGATGAATCGAGGTACCAGATGAAGGATCTGTTTCTAGTTTGGAAACATGAACAATAAAAGGACCTTTATCTGACATTAAATATTGTTTTGTTTGAGAGTTTGATAAAGATGGGTGTGTATATAAATTTGGAGAAGACGAAATAGTCTGTGACTGACTGAGTTCCAGTATAGTTCTTTTGATTGGAGCATCTGTCTGTTCGTTAGTCATGTTCCGTCTTTTAGTGCCTAACTGGGTTTGAGTAAATATTGAGGGAGACAATTCCGCAGGTACAGGCGTGGGTGCCCTGTCCGGAGGATCCGGAGGGTCAGGAGGGATCCTTTCCATTGATTACTCTCTGCAATCAATGGAAAGGATGCAAAGTTAATTTATAAGTTACTCACCAGCACCAACAAAAAACAACTATCACTACAGGTGTTTCTAATTAATGTTTACACTTTACAGTAATACTACGTAGAAAGGATAGAGAAAGTAAATTATAAAACGAAAGCCAAAAATCACGTGTAGTAACCGTACACTAGCGAGTTGAGTGTGATGTGGGAAGATGTGGGAAGATGTGGGAAGATGTGGGTAGTCTTAGAATATTTAAAAAAATACTTTTCAAACATGGTCACAATACTAAAATTTTAAGGAAAGTTTTCAGAAAGAATCTTTTGAATAGCGATAGTTTATTTCGAAATTTTCACAGAGTAAGTTTTGGTATACCCATCACCAAATAGGTAGATTCTTACGGCAGACATATGCAAAAAAATATTGTTCCTGCACTTTTTATTTTAACCCGCGATTGGTAGATATTTGAAATATTCACGTATGTATGTGTACATCTTCATTATGAGAAATAATTCGAATGAAGACACGAGTCCAAATAGCTGTTTTTTTTGTACAGTCAACAGGCATGTCGGTATATGAAATTATTACTGCATTTTATTTTAAACCTTAATGCATTGTAGGTAGAGTTCAAAATCAATTGAGGAAACTGGACATATTGTGGTACTTTGAATCAGAATCGTGTAAGGTTTGCTATTTATTGCATAGAAACGAATCTTTCACCCGCCGTTCCAGATGAGTCCGTCCACAACCACCCCAAATGCAGATCGCGACCGCTTTCGCCCGGATTTGTACAGTCTTCCTCTTCACCCAGAGCCATGTATAGAGAGAGTAACGCTTCCAGTAAGTTGTCATTGGAGTAGGATAGATAGTCACTATCCTCATCGGCCCTTTTACCAAATAACCAAATTTTCTTTAACAAAACTGTTTATAGTTTTTGTACTGATTACAGTTGGCAGTGGAAAATAACAAAAAAAAAACCCTTTTACGTCCCCATTGCAGGGTCTCGGTTCTTCCCTATGGTGGTTAAGGAGGATGGACCATGACCCTCCACGCTGAACCAATGCGAAAAAACGGTATAAACGACTGCAAATACAGCCGTGACCGACGCCTTAAAGTGTCTTCCGTGCAGTGGTCACCCATCTCATGACTGACCTTTGCGAAAGTTATTGAATTACAAACGATCGCGCGCCGCGGCGCTTATCCACTATGCTACCGAATTACTCATGAGTATAGACAGTGTGAAAGATAATTTGATAGATTAATTGCGAAACCATCGCAATTTGATAAGCCCTGCGATTCTGTAAAAATCAGAACCGGTTTCACGTCGTTTATGCCGCTTTTTGAAGTGTATTCGGACACCTGAGTGAATTCGACCCAATAAAAGTGACGTTTAGTGTATACAAGGCGTTTATCGAGTTTGTAATGCTACTCGTACTGATTTCAATACGATATTCACTCATAGAAACGCGAAATCGTTCTTAGAGGGGGGGGGGGGGGAGTGCCATTAATTAAAAGAAAATTGCCTACACCCGTTATGATGTAGAATGATACTGCAATTGGTTCATCATTGCAGGGCTCAGACAAGAAATAAAAGGAATGGTTGTATCCGGAATAGTGAAAGGAGAGTCTAGAAGTAAATCCCCGATGCCAAACAAGTCATGTGCGAATCCAAACTGTCCTAGTACGTGTTATTTTCATTTTTTATGTTCAACTGTGTGTGCGTATAGTAGATTTCAATAACGACAACGAAATGTAGTAATGGTAATTAAAATATTTATACAGTGAGCATAAAATATGCTAAGATAATTATTTTAAACATTCCTACGCCTACGGGAGGCTGTGACATACGTGGTACAAGTCGCGGAAAACGGCTAGTTTATACATATACTTAATTCAGTATTTATCATTTCACAATTAAATGTTTTATTTAATGTCTATCTTCAAATACTTGGAAAAATGCCTCAAGTTTACTCGAACCGTCTTATCCAACCATCTCATGTTATCCTGCCGCATAATCTTCCAACTGACTTACCAAACACAGAGATATACGATTTTCAAGTATTTGTAACTTTCACTGCAAATGGGCGTATTTTCTTTAATGTTTAGAAAAATCATCATCGTAAAATAACCCGGCATTACATATATCTTTCTCAAATACACAAATATACTGCTATTGCGCTTGCACAGATGCCTCTAATCAATTACATCATAGTAAAGTGAACCTAAAATGTTTAAGATACCTATGAGTAAGCACGAAATTCTTTCTTTATTTACAATAACTCAACACGAGGGCTCAGTGTACATTGGTGGGTGCAGATGCTAGGGCTGGATCCAGGCAGCAAATGGGGTACTTTACCAGGGCGCCGGTATTCAAGGGGAGCCAAAATCATGATAAACAAAACTTAAAAAATAAATAAAATTAATTAGGTTATAAGTTGCAAAATGTAACACATATAGGCTTTAGTTGGAATTACTTAACTTCCGCATAACAGACCGCTAACCAGTCCGCTATCGAACTTCGCGAAGTCAATTAGTTTAATTTTTAAGTCTTACTTCTTGTTCTTTGTTAAGAGCAAACCAACGCGAGTATCACACAGAAGGTAGCTGACAACAAGATCTGCCCAGTCCTAGTGACCACACGTGAGTCTACTACCTCCATGTTCGGTAACATTACGTGCACAGCTCCGTAGGGCTTATTCTATTTGTCCTCAAACGAAAATTCCGATACTTCATCACTATTACAATTTTATTTAAATCATTTCCGTGATTATTTGTACATCAGTACATTTTTCTATAATATGACTATAACCATTTTGAAAATATAAAAATATACGAAATATCGTTTTCGGAGAGATATAATAGTCCTTATGTTTCTAAGGCACGTAATTTGTTTTCGATAAAGCCTTAGATCTTATAGCTTCATGTAAATCAATACAACTCTAGTCTCTTAAAGAGATATTTTTTCCAAGCATTTTTCTGACACCGTATCTATTGTACAAAGTATTAGGGTTCATGTTTATGGTACAGGGAAATCATACATATGTAGGTTAAACCTAAGATGCTAGCTTATTCATTGCATAAAACCGATGCATTACTTTTACTACTGGATCTTATTTATTCACAGCGCACTGCAGACTCTCTATTAAATGCTCGTTTCATTATTAACGGAGTTCTAGTGTACTTTGATTTATAGAAACGTATAAAACATAATTTAATTGCAGCTCGCTTGAGTGAAACTTCATACAACAGCAAGGAGCCCCAAGCTAGGGTACGGCGCGTCCTGTCCAATGTTTCTACGGAACACGTCGTAGATAGTGAGTTAAAGTAGTTTCCTCTTGAATTAAGCTAATTCACTTTGCAACAGAAACGTTTCGAAGGACCAATTTATAAATTTGTACTGAAATCAAATGTGTAACATAATTTTGTTTTCCAGCTCGATCGAAAACGCTCAACACAGTGTCACGTCAATCCGCGAGTCAAGAAACTGTGAATAGTACAAAAAAATCTTTAACGCAAACAAATATAGGTCATTCTACAGGTATTTTTTTAAATATTTTAAACGTTGTATACAGGGCCTGATCTAGGGAACAGGGGGTGGCAAAACTGAAGGCGTTGTGTGGAATCTTCAATTTTCTGTTTGGGAAGAAAATCTCATAAAATTTATTTGATAATTACCTACGAATATTTAACACCCTATCTTTAGAACAGCAAGTTATTATGCAAGTGTTAGCGCACTTCTACATTGCAGGTTTTGCATGGTGCGTACAACATGACATGGTTACTTTTCGTTGTTATTATAATATGTCAAAAATTGTGTATGTGGTTTGCTGAAACGCACTTACTGTAAAGTGCGAAGAAAATTTCGACAAATGGACCAAAGACATTCTATCTAGTTTGATTTCGGGAACTAATGTTTTTTTTTTTTATATAAATGTATCAATTTTGTTTTTATATGAAATATGGAAATTAATAGAATTTCTTTACTAAATAATGTGAATTCGGACATATGAGTGAATTATAATTCTTGTTCGAATTTTTACTAAATCGCCCTGCTAGGACCAGCAGGGCAATTCGTTGTGTGAAGTGTAAGTGTGAAGTTGTAAGTTAACATAAAAAAAATATTTATGATAAAATATAAATCTCGAATTGTAGAGCTCGGCACCGGTTACGGCAAGCCGTTGGTAACCAATTTAAACAAGAAACTAACAATAATGAAGGAGCTCCCAGCCAGTAAGTGTAAGGCCCCAAACTGGAAGCCCGCGCGTGCGGTGGCGGTGGCGACCGCGGCACGGGCGGTGACGCGAGGAAATTGGCCCGTACTCGACGCCATGGGTCAGTTCGTTCGTTTTCTCAGTTTAATATGAGTTGCCGTGTATGAAATATTTATATTTAATGACTTATTTATGTCAAATAACATTTTTATAATTTGTTGAAACAGTATTAGACGACAGTATATTATTACTCAGTCGCGCATTCGTCGCTCTTAGGCGTGCGACCACGTGCGACACTCGTTGTTCAGCCCCTTATTCTCTAACTCTGGGAACTTCTGAGAACAAAAGATATAAATTGTTCACAGAACTCTGTGCGAAAGCGGTCATTGCACAGTTTTAATATTCTGTAGAAAATTGATAATAAATCACTAATCCCTAACCGGTTGCTATATAGGTATATTTTTAATTTAGATGAAATCACTCATTGAAGTTCACTTTCATGGTCTTACCGAAAACGAAATAACAGTTTATCAATACAAGGTCCAGTGAATCAGTGAAAAATTTTGTTCACAGATAATACAACTAACATTCGAGGAAAATCACCATATAGACTATGCCGAAGTAAGAGACTTTTACACTATTATTGATAGTGTTTCGTGTGTTGATTAATAATGAAATATTTTTCAAGTATAGGGCATGTAGGAAAAGTACGGTGCCTTGTCATCTGATTATCCCACAAGGTTATCCTCATCTTACATGGAGATATTCTAGAATTTACCTAGTGCATAATATCGTTTAATTAGTGAATAGTTTATTTATTTCTGTAAAAATAATGTCTTCTATTTTATTTATTTCTTTTAAAGCCGATTACAAGGAATCAGATTCATCCTTACCCGGGAAGAAAACAGTCGATACTATCAAATCCAAATCTCGTGAGTGTTATTTTATCATTATATAGGTACTATAGTGAAATTAAAAAAAATAGATTAAGGTTTGAAGACATTGTTCTCATAAGAACTTACTAGCCGTTCACTGCGAGTATGCCGCTCTCCTGCTTCACCGCACCCTCAAAAAGAGAGTAATCCCGTTTTTATGAAATTTTGATATATATTTTACTTTATCCATTTGGCAATATAACATAAAATTATGTATTTTTTTATAAATGTATCTTTGACGTTATTTAGTAACGGTTGTCGATTTTTTTTTATAATGTGCTCTCGATCTCAATCCATCCCAAGGTCAAGAATAAGATCTACGATTGGACAACTCGAGGCAGGGCTGGAGGGGGCTCCGAAATCTCTTAAAATTCATACTCACAGGCCATCGTGGGACGAACATATTTTCAAAGTTCGTAAAAACGAAATAAAAAAGTCATATACTACAAAATATGGTAAACTGGTTATATTCCGGCCCCATGGAGCGAGATTGGGGAAGGGGAGGGAGTAAGGGCGCACGATTAAGTCTCTTTGTCTATACAAAATGTAACTTTACTCGGGTTGAGCGTGAAATATCGTATGGGCGCCGAGAAGAAGAGTGACATTTGGGTGTAGAAAACGATTCTCGCGTTAGTAAACTACGCGTACAGATTGGAAAAAAATCCTATATCCGGACTGACTCGAAGCAAGCGGCTATTACAATTCTCACTCAAAGTGAAGAAATCTATTAAGAAATTGCGAAAGTGTATTCAGTAAATTTTTATTTATTTTAAACACGTAATCTTTCTTTACCTTCTTCGACTCATCTTTTTTAAAAGCCTAGTATTTATATTTTCTTTTAAAATACCTATTCTATTATTAAAATAAAATGTGATGATCCAATAAAGCATAGGTTAATTATGAATCCGCGTGTACGTTCTATTTCAGTAATGAACTTTAGATTAGAAGTTGTGACGAGCGTTATATTACACTTAATATTTTGGAGGCTCGCACACATCGCTTCGTACCTGTACCTTACGCAGTGGATCATACTTTTCCCAATAATTGCTGTTGGTGTTTTGTTTTGGACAGCTGATAAAGGCGCCCCGGGGAAGTTAGGATCATCCAATACTGTTCCTAAAATTAAACCACTAGTACAAAATATGATGTTTAAAAACGCACTATCACTAAATCGTAAGTGTATTATAATATTCCTATATATTTCATGAATTCGAAGAACCATAATTTATCTCATCATGTTATTCCCTAGAAACAAAAGTGAGTTCATCCACCTACATTAGACAGAACAAAGAAAGTCCAACGAGACTTGAGCAGTTTGATAAAACTGGTATGAATTGTTATTTATAATTTAGTAGCTGTCTCCCTTTCCCTCAAATTCACCTGCGTAAATGATAGTTTATATTACCAGCGTATAATGTAGCATCCCTCTTGTAAAAGAATTTTAAAAATCGGTCCTGCAGTAAATATGCAGTTTTATGAGTCATCGTTATTAAAAAAAAAATCATATTACAGCTACATCGAATAATAGTAATAATAAATGTAATAATGCTTTGAAGTCATCATCTCAGAAGGAAAATAAATGTTTGAAACCAGGTAAATTAATTTGTTCTGCATGTATATTTAATATATATTATCGACTACAATTAAAAACATTTTTTTTTCAGATTTCGATTTATCAGTTAATATAAACAGTAGACCAACAAATAGAACAAAAATACCTGTATCAATAACGAATAAACCATCACCATTAGTGACACAATGCGGTAAAAAATTTACTACATAAATAGAAATTATTCCGTTATTCTCAGTTGACACTTTCAATTTTCATTTCGATTTTCAAATGGTGACAAACGCTATAATAACACGGATGATAACAACTTATTTGTTATAGTGTAGTGTAGTGTTAGTGTACATTATTAAATCGAATTATTAATATTCTAATTTCAATAACCTGCGTTTAAATTAATCACTAGCTGTTTTCCTGTGACTTCACCCTTGTAAGTTATTATATTACGTATGTCACGAGCGATACATTCATACGCTTCCCGTAGGTGAAAGAATTTTAATAATCAGTCCAGTGATTTAGAAGCTTATTCAATGCAAGCAAACAAACAATTACATATTCCTTCTTTATTATGTAATCATAAATTAAATAATTTTCTAACATACACAATACCCAACGAATATCAGCTCTATACCATTTATCAACTCGTAGAATCAAAGAAATTTTTAATCACAACGACACAAAATTGTCATTATATTGGAAAGAACGTATACCTAGGTATTGGCTGTCAGTAACAACAAAATAAGTAAAGATAACTGGGAATAGCCTAATTAGTTAATTTTAGCAACACCAAAATCTGAGAAAAGAGATTTAGCAGGAGTTAAGTCTCCAAGATCTAACTCCAACAGTCGTTCGCCGAGTTTAGAAAGGAAAAAAGAGAAGCAGTTATCAGAGTCGTTTAGACAAACTATAAATGAAAGACTGAAGCAAACACATAATAAAGGGAAACCTATCTACGCTATAGGCAGACCAACATGTAAGTCAGCATAAAACGCCATTGCACCAATGTTGTACTGGTACATATTTGTGGTAGGAGCGAAAAATTAACTTGTAGCTGGTCCTACATTCTGGGAGATCACACACAAAGTTGAGATTAAGTCAGAAAAATGCCTTTTATTAAATTCATTCATTAGCATTACAAGAAATAGGTAGTGTTTATTGTTGACCTGCTCAACGGGGGCCACAACTCTCTCCCTCTCTGGTTCCGTTCTTGTTCTCGTGTGAGTACTTAGTTACTGGTCCGTCGAGTGTGTGACGTTAATGCATTTTAAACTGCTAGCGAAACGATAGAGATCGTTTATTTACCTATTACTCCGGAATAGTAGCATTGTTTAAAAATGTTTAAAGGTTGACCTAGAATAACTTGCGATGTAGACACGAGATTTTATTTGACTTGAGAGCCTCATTTAGAACATAGATTGAAGAATAATGTGTATACGAGTTTCCAACTTGGCAGAGTTGTAGAAATACTGTGACGTCACAATGAATTTGGCGGTCAGCATGCTCGAAGTCGAAATGCGATAATTAAAAAATATATTAAATAAATATATATAAAGAGTAACTTATGCACCTACAAACTACATATTATTTCTAATAAATTGTGAATTCCTGATCCTCATTCTAATAGTTACAGCCACCGTGTGCAGTAGAAATTTCAAACCACAATTGGAAGACATCAAAAGTTCATTTATGTTGCTTAATAAACCTCAAGACCATACGAGAAGTGCTAATGAGAGAGGTACAATAAATGTTCACATTTTAGAAGTCTCTAGTGAATGTGTGCATTAGTTCAGTCAGCACCACCATCATTTATTTCTGAAACTACGTAAGAATATTACCTTGGCAATTTTTTCCTATTTCTTAACGTCATTTGAAAATCTAAGAGGGTGGCGCTGCTGAAATGACGGACAAGATGTTGATAAATTATAAATATTTATGTGAATCAACGAAACTAATCTTTGTGGAACGCACGTTCTTTTCATTTTATCCGTATTATATTATGATAACTTTGGCGCTCCCCTGTCAGTGTCGGGAAAAGTGCCCCCAGGTGTACCCCTTAAATCGGACCTGCTTAAAGCATAGGTGTTCCGAATCACGTTCGGCTCTAAAGCGAATTTACATCATGAAATTAAAAGTTTCATTAAAATAATTTTGACGCATGTGAAAGTACTTTTGTCATGGCGTGGTATCAATATTATCTGTGAGACAATGATTGCGTTTCTTGATGGCGTGCAATCAACATTATTTATGAGACAATGGTTGCGTGAACATCGAAGCTTTACTATGAAAGTAGTGTCACGCAATATATAAATATATATGTATAAAGCCGAATTTTCATAATGTAAATTCGGCTTTATACATATCAACGTCTAAGTTATACATTTACTAAGACATCATGTCCATTAGCGACGAATACGGCACGCCTCTGGTGGACGCCAGGCTTAATCTAACTGGTTCCATCTTTTTCTTTAAGAGAGCACCTCTAATAACTTTACAAGCAACTTCAGAACCTCATACAGAAATGGTTATATAAAATGTATAAATTATTGTGACATTTTTAGCAGGTTCTGATAAGGAAGATTATGATTTTGTAAATAAATCAAGATCATATGATGAGTACAGAAAACAAAAGTTAAATGAAACCAAGAAAAAGTTTAAGAGTAAAAATTTTTTTCAAGAACAAAGTGAGTTTAATTTTACTTTCAGTATTTTGTCTTGCTCATGGTTTTGTATTATTTTTTCTGATTTTCTTAATTTCTGTTGCAGAATATGATAAAATTGAAGGGCTCAATTGGATCTCATGGAAATAAAGACATTAACTATTTATTCCTCATATTTTATTATAAATTTATAGTGATAGTTACACAGAACAGTGGTGTCTAATGTTAAAGTTTACGAGCATAAAGGATCAATTAAAAAAATTGAAAAATATATTCACTTTTCTTTGGAACTTGACCCTTTGTCATCTTTATCCTTTTGTTCTTTGTCATCCTTTTCATCCTTATCCTTTTTAATAGTAGACATGGCATTACGGACGGCTTCACTTTGAGGATCTACACCAGGCAGACTTTCAAGCACACTTTGTAGAAAAGCATCATTCATGACCTCTGCATACTCTTCCGGGACATCCATGTTTTCCTCTGCTGCTGGAGCTTCTTGTTGCATGCTCATTTCCATAGCTAAAGCAATCTGTTCCTCCTCAGATAGTTCCATTGCTTCCCGGCCAAGAGACATAGCCAGAGCTCTTTCCATACCACTGTCCTGGGTCTCTCCAGGTTTTCCCGTTTCTCCTTCAGTAGTTGCTTGTTGACGACGCGACTCCTCTTCCTGACGCTGTCTCTGTTCTTCCATAGAGACACGAAGAGCAAGTGCTAGCTCTGGGTCTTCATTAGGATCTACTCCAAATTCGAATGGCGATAATCCTGATCCAGATGGGCCAGCTCCATCACCTCCGATAAGGGGACTTGATATTAATGCTTCAGATAGCACAACACAACCACCAGCTGGCACAGAGACAAGATGACTACCACCAGTTGCATTATCTTTACCATTTAATGTGTTTACAAATGATGTTAAAAGAGGATTATTATCAGAGTCCTCTCCAAAAGATACAACATCACAATTTACCTTTTCTTTCTTCAACCTTTTAGCAAGTTTCACCATCTCCTTTTCATCAGTGTTAATGGGTGATCCAACGAATACGACGATACGCATTTTATGGTTTTTTCCTTGGCGATGTTTCAGTGCCAAATGAGCAATTCTTATACCAGTCAACAAGTTGATATTGCCATTTGGTTGAACACGATGAAGCTTCGATAATATACGTCCTACATCGCTAGTTAACGTAGCCAGTACTTCAACATTTGCTAAAGTCAATAGGCCCACGTTATTTTCTGGATTTGATCTAGTTTTGGAATGACATACCAGGTTCACAGCATCTTGTTGTGCTTGAAGTCTTGTCGGTAAGAAATCTCCATTTCTCATGTAGTCGCTGTTATCGACACAAATCATAGTGCTTTCTAAAACCATTTTACTTTGCCTTATACAAGATTTACAAAACCAACAAATCGAATAATCATAACATGAATGAATTGAAAATTTGCTGTCTAATCATAGACTACAGTAATTTGACAGCTATCTTTTTTCTTATTTTGGCATTGGTATCTAACTTCATTAGCCACTCAAGCGTCCGAGTTCATAAGCTGTCATTTATTTCATTAATCTCACGCACGCGTCTACATGCAAGATACGAACTTCTCCGTACTATGCGCCGGTTCCTTTTCATACTTAAAGTTTATTATTTCGCTCACTACGTCAGAATATAAATATTTGTGTAACAGTATTAAAAAAAGAAAGCACTAACAAAGCACTTCCATTAGATGGCGACTCTAGCAAAAATCGATTTTTGCAGAAAACGTATGTACCAAAGACAGTCATTTCCGTTCCCTTTAACTAACATATTAAAAAACTGAAATTTGCAAAGTTTGATACTTAGATATCAATAGAAATAAGAAAAAGTACAAATAGAATATCAGTTGTTTATGGAGTTTTGAAAATGAATTTACTTTTATACATGAAAGAAAACCGGAAGGGTTGTCATGGAGCAATTAAGGAAGTGCGACATCTAGCTTGATAACCAACATTTTCAAGTTTATTATTTTTTTGATACTTTAAATTGGTAGTTACTATTAAGTTTTCTAAAGTATTAAAAAAAAAACATTATTTACCGAAATGTTTGCAAATCAACGCACCGTGCACCGTGGTGTTATTCACTATATTTTTATCCAATCTGTTCAAGCAATAACGTCAGTTGTATAATTTGCCAAACTTCGAACAATGTTGGCAAAACTAGCATTAAGCACAGTAACAGACCCGACTCTTGGATCGACCTTCACCATTATTGCTCCATGACAAAGCGAGGACCTCAAACAGCACGATTAACCCTTTTGACCTATCAGGAACTGCAGTTAGAAACCATCCTCTATATTCGCCGACCTTTCTCCAATTGACAACTATTTTTTCGTGATTTGGATAATTATCTATGTGACAAGAAGTTTTCTTTCCCAGGAGGCAGTACAAAATGCTTTCACACAGTTTGTGCAGTCTAGATCCTCAGAGCTCTATCGCAAAGGCATAAATGACCTACCTATTAGATGGCACCAATGTATAGATAATAATGGTTACTATTTTGATTGAATAAGTTTGTTTAAAATTAGAAAATAAACAATTTAGATTTTCACTACAAATAGGCAATTTCATAGTTTGACCCCTAATATAATGACTGAAAACTTTGAAATAGTTACCATTAAAATACAAGTGTTTCCACGGAAGTAAATTTAGTTAAAAATTTTAATAAATGTTTTTTTTTCCTAATGGCAAGATGAAAGAACGAGACACCCGGCCTCCGATGTGACTATTTCTCTCGGCACGGATTAGCTTCTATAGAAGGAATACTCAAAAGTATACTTAAATATTTAAAATGAAAATTCATTTTCGTAATGACAATTCTTAAAGTTATTAATCCTGTTATGTTAATACTACGTCCATGACATTTGTCATTTGGACAAAAAAACGTAGTGATGTGCCAACTCGGAAAAAACAAAACTCGATTTAGCCCGAGTTAAAATCCACATAGCTCGAGTGGAACTCGAATAACATAACTCGAGTTAACTAGATAGACAAGCAGTGGCGTAACTATAGCGATTAAGGCCTGTGGCAAATTCATTGAATATTCATTTTATTTAATATAATTAATTGCGTAATAATAAATGTCAGGAGTTAGGAGTCTCCTCTGACCGGGGATAATCTGAACTGAATCTGAACATTGTTAACACGCAACACATCCACTCAATGGCGATTCGAATACATCCCAAAATAAAGATTTTCTTTTTCTCCCAGCTTTTTAAAAACAGAACATAAAACACCAAAGTCTACAACAATAACAGGCAGTTTAAAATTAACCTCAAATCTACATAATATATTATTATGTGACACTTGTTTGTGATGAATAAATGAATGAACATCGCAGTCTTACTCAAATGATCGGCAAACTTTGCTCCGTTTCGGTTCCATTCGGTTTACGTACTCGAGTTTGAGAGAATTCAACTCGAGTGGGTTCGAGTTACGCCCAACTCGAATTAACTCGAGTAGCCATCACTAAAAAAAAGATAAAAAGGTTTTGACTTGTAATTTGACACATGACAGCTGAAAATCTCGATAAATTCTAAACTTGCGGTTTTCCAAACTTAATCATGGGTTTTGGTGATTATCCAAAAGAATACAACCCAGCTGTTCATGGCCCTTATGATCCTGCCCGATATTATGGAAAACGTGAGTAGGCTTTTGCGTTTTGTAATTTTAATTGTTGCCCTTCAAACTCATAAGTAGGTACGCCTATTCGATTATGTAATTTTATTTTCCGTTTTTTCAGCCGATACTCCTTTTGGACAAGTAAAAATTAGTGAGCTTGGTTCATGGTTTGCTCGAAGGAATAAGACACCTTCGGGTATAGCTGGTGCTTGCAGCAGAGGTACAAACTATTTTTTAATTTAGGTTATTTTTTGTTTGGAATATATTAATTTCTAATTGTAATTTTTGCTAAACATTATTTAGAATTTATTCTAAAAATGATATTTTAAGCAAATTACATTGTTTTACTAATTACTGAAAACTTTAACTATCATTTAAAAATAAAATCCATTACAGCATGGTGGAGATGGCAACACAAGTATATGCAGCCAAAGAAAGTGGGCATGGCCCCATTCTTCCAGCTTCTCGTCGGGTCGATGACTTTCTTCTACGTTATTAACTATGGAAAGATGAGTAAGTAGTAACAATAATAAGAACAATATTATACTCATTTAGAGCAGCTTTTTTTATAAAATTGTGTTTTTTTAGAATTAGAACAAGTTTTGAGGCTTATTTTCTAAGTGTTATAATTTTTCTCATTGCAGAGCATCACAGGAACTACAAATACCACTAAAGGGAACATCCAGCTGGCCTGCAGGACCTCCACTCGAGTTTAAAATATCTGCATGTCAATATTTATCTTCATAGTGCTTTCATGTTACAACAGTAATAATAAAAATAGTTAAAACTCATTTTCTTTCTATTCTTTATCATAAATATAAGATAAACACCTATACAAATAATGTATTTCTCATACATATATATTATGGGACAAGTTGTTATTTGTTAGTATTAATATTTGTCAATATCATATACATTGCTCAAATCACAAATTAAGAAGCTCTTACATTATAGAAACCTGAAACATTAAAGGCACCACAACACACCGGAGACAATATAGAAAATTCAATTTCAACATTTACCTGAACAGGAATTGTACCTTGGATCCCTTAAAAATGGGAATTATCTCTTACCAATAAAAAATATTAAAGCACACATAACTTCTCTCCATTACTGTCTTCCACAAATAAAATTCAGAAAATATTGTATCATTCTTAGAATTTTGTTAAAATCTGTATATCAGAGGTAGTACCAGGTCATACCTTTTTCATCATCATCATAATTTATCCAAAACATCGGCATTGAAAAATTTTAGTTTTGAAATACTTAAGGATTATTCTTAAAATACACTAATTATTTTAAAAATTTTGCATTTGGTCTATGAATATGTATGATGCAATTCCCATAGATTAATGAATTTTCCTGAACAAATCAGGTATATTGAAAGACTACCCCTTTAAACAAACTTATTTAGAAAGTTTACCTCTTCATAATATTAGTAGGTATACATTATTTAACCATAAGAAAGGTAAAATAAAAATTCAGCAATTGTTTAAAAATATTTACTTAGATACATTAATAATTTATTTATCCTCATACACACTCATTCACTGCAAATATACTGCATACAGTTCAAATGCAATAATTTATTTAACACTAGGACCACTGTATTGTTGATCAGGTATCACCATTGCTGTAACAGGGAAGTTCTTTCACCTCAATGTTTCTTTTTTCTGGAAAAAAAAATTAAATTAATGTTCAGAAATACAATTAATAATCTAGTGGTCCATACTGTGTTTTAAGGAAAAAATATAATTCATTTATTTGTATTTTAATTTAAGTTTTCCATGTAAACAATAGATTTTTATAATGAATTTCACCATATCATATAACCGTTGAATCACAAAATACCATTTTGTACAGATCACAATTACATACAAATTATTCACAAACATAAAATTTTAAACTTTTTATTTATTATTTTGTTTAGAAGTTTCAACAATATGACAGGAAAGTTAGTTCTATTACTTACATAAAACTTACCTATAATTATTATTTAATATTACTAGGATTTTTTACAAATCAGATCTCCCCATGTACTTAGGTTTAAGCTCCTCTATTCTTTTGATAAAGTCAGTTTTTTCAATGCAACCATCACAAATCTCATCCCAGTCGTTAAGGATTTTCTTCAAGTCTCGTACTTTTAGTTTCTTGAGGTCAACAGTGTTGAGATCTATCTGCTTGTCGAACCTCAGATCACAAATTTGTGCATCTTTTTTCCTCAGCTTTTCGCAAATTTTGTCGGATGGCATGGACCAACTCAGTGGTTTTGACAATTCACCCAGAATGCCGGTCGCAGATTCTTCTAATCCTCCTAAATAATAACAAAACCTATTTTCCTTGTTTTTAGTACCTTTACAGAATTTCTTGAATTCAGCCTCGATCTTTTTTGGCTCCTTTTTCACTTCATCTGTTAACGTGGCTGCGAATTTATCAATAGTCTTTATGCAAACCTCACATTCCCCTTCTCGTAATGCAACAGTAATTTGCACCACTGTTGCCAAAAATATTAAATGAAATAGGTTTAATCTGTACATTTTTGATTCAACTCTATGCACAACTAATCTAAAAATAATTAATATGTCCCGAAACGAGCAGCTTTGTACTCGGTTGCGAGAATTTGAAAGCAAATTGAAACCACAGAAGAATCTCGTTTCTAAAAATGAATGAAAACGTTGACAGTTTTACTTGGCGAGATGTGATTGGTGCACGTGGGTCTAGTGTGTTCTTCTTTTATCTATGGTTATTTGACATTTGTTTTGTGTAAGGTGTTAAAGATGCACCCACATAATCGTGCTCAACTTTTAAAATGCACAAGATATTTTTAGACACTACAATAAAACGAAACTGTTCGATTTTGTTTTTTTAAAAGTAATGTTTTATATTATTTGCCTAACGTTGGTTGATATATATACTTAATACATAAGAACAAGCCCAATGAGAGTTTAGAGCTTGACTACACTACCCAATTCGTAAGATCCCTTATCCTTTACACTACCCTTTTTATATTTATAGTGTTCTTTACTTATTATGGCGATTGGGTAGTGTAATAACTGTTAGTTACTGAGTAAGGGAACACAATCAGCAGTTTTGTTAAATATGGTCGTCAATCGTCATGCTGAGTTTGTCTTTTATTTTCATTAGGATTATTTATGACTATAACTCAAATATATATAAGTATATGAAACTAAAATATATATAACTTAATTTAAAATATAATATAGCAAAGAAGTAATTTTTAAAGTAACTGAACTATACTACTGTAAACAATAATTGTATTACTGAGAGTCTGTACATTTCAACCGGTAAAGAAGTATAATAACAATAAATGTATTCTGGCATTTTTTTCCTCTAAAAGTCAGCACAACTGTTTGAGTGGGGATCCATGTTGGCGCAGAGCCTCCTATCACCGATTTTCTGTTTAAGCGCCTTGCTAGAAAAACCTTTTCGAACCCTAATGGCACATTAACATTATTTACTAATTCCTCCATGGACCACTCAACTGGAACCTCTCTAATAATAGGGATGATGACTAATTTTTGTTTGTTTGTCCGTGTTAAAAAATATTAAACAAGCATTTTTTTATTTTTTTCGTAATCATAAAATTACGGCGTTACATTGAGTTGAAATTTCGCATAACGTCACGTTAGAGTACGTTTTCTACTCAACTGTGACGTAGCGAGCCCCCACTCCTCAACTTTAATGCCTGTTATTTAAGCTATTTCTTGTTAAATTGAAGTAAAAAAAAATACGTATCCAATATTTTCTATTATCTGACTGACGGACTAAATAGAATTGCAATTTTTTTACCCAGTCATCATCCCTATTCCCATACGGGAGATATTGAAAGAAGGAATTGAGACTAAGTAATCATTGTCATTAACGGCTGGATGGACCATGAAAGAGTTAACGTCTGCAGCTGATTTAAATTGGACAGATATGCGATTCCGCTTTACCCTCTTTACACCATCTAAATAATATTTTTTATATTGTTGGTATGAAGGAATATGCCAAAATTAATGGGTCGCAAAACCGTCCCTTGAGAAGCCTCTTCTCTTTTTGAGATGTGAACAATAAATGGACCAAGGTCATCATTTGCGTAGTTAGTTCTTTTATCTGCAAATTCTGGTAGAATGTAGGTGGTTTGCGCTGACGCAGTAATTTGCCTAGATGCCTTAACTTATTTTACGAAAAAAAAGGCTGTCAATTCGACAGCAAATTATGTTGGCATGGAAACGGAGTTTATTTACATCAGAACAAATTGACGAAATCTTTGGTAACTTGTTTTATCAATAACATATCTATTCTTCTGAACTCTATAGTGCCATTAAGGGTAAATAAAATTGATTTAACTATAACAAAATGACGGACACTAAGCCAAAGTTGCAAGAAAATCCGCGAAGCGCTTTGGAATCGTACATAACTGCGTTACAAAGCGAATCCAAAATTACTCGCAAAGAAGCATTGCTGAATATAAATAAAGAGATCTTTGACAATCCAGACATTGAAAACTGCGACCTGACTATAGTCTTTCCAGAAATATATGCCTATGTATTGAAAAGCTTTTCTGATGCATCTGAAGCATGCCGCAATGTGTCTGCAATGATTATATCAAATTTTATCGACCATTTACCTCTCAATGATTATTATTTGACATATATTATGCCTGTGATTGTCCGACGCATCGGTTGCCCAGAAATAATTGAAGAATCTGAAGAAATACGTTTGGTACTAATAGAACTTGTACACAAGATCATTGAAAAGTATAAAACGACGCATCTTCTTAGTTCGTTCATAAATGATTTCACTAGTATATTGAGTAAGACGAGTGCCGATCCATTTCCTAAAGTGAAGCTTGAAGCATGCGAGTGCATAATTCTAGTGACTAAAGTACTTCAACGAGACTTCCATTTTCAATCTGAGAGCTATGTGAAACCAGTACTATCAAATTTTTGTCATCAACACTTCAGAGTAAGGGTTGCTGCTATAAAAGCAATAGGTAAGTAAAGCAATAGGAGGTTTCTGAAAATATATCATAGTCTGATGAAGCCATTTTCCATTTCAACTTCTATGTATGAAATAAAACGGAGATAAAAGTAGCCCAGTACATTGTCCCCATTGCACATTTGCAAACCAATTGTATAGCTTACCACTTTTACAGGTCTTTATAACAAGCTAAACTCTAAATTCGAAAATTCTGAAGACAGTTAAAATAAGCATAACTTAAAGCAGATGAATTTAAAATAAGTTATTTATATTTTAAAGTCCCCTCAACAAATCTACATATTTATTGTCAGGTGCCATTGTGTTAGCGGGAAACGTCAAATGTTTTGAATTGTCAATTACACCGATGGCAGAAAAACTATTTGATGAGAATACACAGGTCCGTCTGCAGGTTACCCTTGAGGTTGGTAACTGGATGTTGAATTATAGAGACCGCTACTCATTTTGGCATCGCATGATACCTCTACTTTTAACAAGGTAATTCTTTTATTGTTTTTCTTTCTAAGTGCTTCTTAGGTACTTTTACTATTTCTTTACCAGTAGTGGGACTTTTTTGTCATTTTCGTAATTTTACTATTCTTTGTTATTTTTTCTCAAACAGCTGCAATATGCACCTACAGCAAGGCATAGCTTAACTAAGTAGCGCCTAATCTTATTAACTGCCTAAGCAGCTTAGTTTAATTCCAAATAAACATTTTTTTCTTTTATCACTTCACATATTTTTTACCTGTCATATTATGAAAATACTTAGCGCAAGGTTCTCCATTATGCATCTCATAGCTTTAGATATTGCTTGATGTCATTAGGTGGTTCCTAGACATTGGTGAAATGGATTTTCACAGTAGGCGATTCTTAAATATTTAAACGATTAATTTAGGCTACTCTTAAGTTTAGTGAAAACGGGCATAAAAAATTGCAAAACCCACCGGTGTAGAATACGGATTAATTTTAAATATATTATGATTTGTATTAATAATCTGGATCGAAGTGGAGATTAAGAATAGGTATAATTCATTAAATCAGGCAAATATTATAAATAAAAAGGTAATTGAATGTTAATTATATAACTTTTTAAATTATTTATATAGCTTAAGTGACTTAATGGCTGATATAAGAGAAACGGCAATAAGGCTATGGGATGACATAGGCTTACAATTTATGGACGAGAATGAAGAAGATCTAAAGAAGAGAACGGATTTCTTGAAGGATGTGCCTTCTCATTATCCTGATGTCAAGAGACCAAACCTTGGCTGCAGATATTTAGTGCAGACCAATATTGGGAAAATTGTGCCTGCTATAGGACGAGGTAATAAGCAGTATTTCTTTTCATTGTAAAAAATCTATCAAAAACATGTTTTATACTTTTAAATATAAAAGTTATTTACCATGAATAATGGCTTACAAAAACTACTCATACGAATTAACATGACAACTGAGGCCCTATTCTATTTGTCCTCGAACTTAAATTCTGAAAATTTCAAATCGTTCTTATAATTTAGTTAAAATCATTTCCATGAACATTATCTGTGTATCAGAGGCAGTGTCAGGTCCTATCTCCTTTTAATTATAAGTTATCGTTTCTTTGGAGTCACATTAAGTCAGGTATCATGTTAATTCGTACAAGTAGCATATATTATAAAAACTAGCCAAGTACGAGTCGGACTCGCGCACGAAGACCGAAAACGAGCCAAAAAATCACGTTTGTTGTATCGAATCCTTCTTAAATATTTATTTTATTCTATTTTTTAGTATTTGTTGTTATAACGGCAACAGAAATACACCATCTGTCGTATAACGGCAACAGAAACACAAAATCTCAACTGTTTAACCATCACGGTGACAGCAAAATAATCACATTTAAATAAATAAATATCAGACATCATCACATACATTGCTCAGATTCCAAGATAAGTAGCTTAAAGCCCCCGTATTATGCAGTACCTGAGACAATAAAGGTACCACAACACCCAGACCCGAGACATTATAGAAAAGTTTTTTTCGAACGTTGACCCGACCGGGAATCCGACGTGCGAACCAGTTGTTGTATGAGAACCTCCCTAAAATGTTTATTTTATTCTATTTATTGTTAAAGCGGCAATAGAAACGCTTCATGAGGTATATATAAAGTGACCAGACGTCCCGTATTGAACGGGACTGTCCCTTTATTCGACCACCTGACCCGTTGTCCCCTTGGGACTTAAAATAGTCCCGTTTTCTAAAACCGCGCGAAAAATTGAAATATTGATGCGTGTTAGAAATCGAGAGTTATATAAATAGGAGAAATATAAATAGGACTAAAAATACAATATGTTGCACATAATAATGTTACTGTCATATAAATGGTACTTTAATGAAGCTGGTGATTGCTTCTTATTTTTCATACTTCATACTTCTAATATTCAAAAATGTTTTAAAAATTTTTGTGCATACAAAATAAAGAAGGTTAAAAAGTTCTATTTATTTTTATTGTTTACCTTCCCACTGGGGTATATGTATATTAGATTTATAGATTAGTAGTATGAGGTATATTATGTTTAGACGTCCCGTTTTGAGTTAAAAGAAAAATGGTCAGTTTAGGTATATACAGCCTGGTGACAGACAGGCAGCGAAGTCTTAGTAATAGGGTTCCTGTTTTAAGTAGACTGAGCATGTGCCTAGAGGCGTGGTTATAAAGGGGCGCGAATGTTGACGAAAAACAACGGGTCAATATAACCGAATTTATCAGTTAGCAGATTTTCTAACTGATAAACAAAATCTGAAGTATTTGTTTGTTTTGATGATCACAAGAGGAACGCGCGCTGGACCTTGAATCCGCCTTTTATCACGAACACAATAAATTCAGGATGTAATCCGGGAAGGTAACTTTTAAATAAAAGCATATAAGCAGTAATATAATTATGCTCAGAGATGGAAGGGTGGCATGCAGACGCTCGTCTGCGTTCATCGCAGCTTCTATGTTGGTTGATCTTATGCGCTGAAGAGGGATCCACGCAACACGCCAACACCATCGTAAGAACCCTACATCGTGGCGCTAGTGATGAAGATCCCAGAGTTGCTCTTGAGGTTGGTACACCAGGAGACCCTGACCTTTTCTTAACCAGGGACCGTTTTAATTCTTCGCCTTCTTAGATCTGCTGGTCAAGTTATACGTAACTGGCGATGACTTGATATGATGTACTTTTGGGTATACTTTCTTCGTGCAGAGTTTCGATGCAATAATCCAACATTACAGATCAAACGTGCGTCAGAATTATTCGGTTACTTCATCCCGCCGGCCACGTGGTGGCCTCTGCTAGAAGCTGAGGTGGATTCCTGGGGCGCCTTGCTCGTTATCGCGAATATCATCAAAGGATCCCAACCCGAATTAATCAAGGAAAAAGTACTAAAAGAACTTACTAAAGAGCTAGCGGATCCTGACAGATGCAGAGTGAGGAAGGTAAGTTGTAGTTTATCGTAGAGTATTGAATTTCAGAAGTGATTCTGTGAAATAGAAACTTTCGGAGTTTCGGGCAAAATTAATCCAATCTGGCACTGACTAATTAACTGTTAAGGAGCCCATTACAAGGATCATAGCGCCAAATGTGTCTTTTCTTTTAAATTAAGGTTAAAATTAAATAAATAAATAAAATCTTGTACGAGTATTGTGTTATCCCTTATCACCACAAATGTTCCTTAAGAGTTCCGTTGTCCTACCCGATTATTACGAAATCTAATTCAGTCTACTTTAAGTTTGTATATGTAGTATGACATATACTAATTAGATTCCGTTATTTTACTCTATCCATTTTATTATAAATTTTCTTTTTTCCGATGTTCTACTTTCTTTAATTGTTCCATTGCTGTACGCAAATCTCTAAATAAAATGATGCCTCTAACATACCGTTAACATTTACTTTACAGCATTACATATTTTCTAACTTGAAACTTTAAGAATTGTTATCGTTTTTTCATCAGCCCAAGTATCAAACCAACTTGCTTCATGTGGCAGAAGCTTTGATTGATCTGTGTAAAGAAGAATGTTTGCCAGTGGCTGAGGAGTTGTTCATCATCAACTTTACAGTGTACGCCATGCCAGTTGATGACAATTTACAATTCATGGCGATCTGTAAGTAGATTATGATTAGATTACACACACACACACACACACACACACACACACACACACACACACACACACACACACACACACACACACACCCACACACACACACCCACCCACCCACACATACACACACACACACACACACACACACACACACACACACGCACACGCACACACGTAGTGAATGGAGTATCTCATGTATGAATGGAGTATAATGAATGGAGTATAATGGAGTAACTATGTTAAATAATTATGGAAAAAATAAAGGATTATTATTACATATTATACATATATACACCCGGGCCCAGTGTGGATTGTGGGTGTTAACGACTGCCGATTCAACCCGGACCAATGGCTTAACGTGGCCTCTGAAACAAATAAATTTTTGGTCACCCATCCTATGACCGGTCTTTGCAAATGTTGGTTAACAACCATATCGCAGATCGCTCGCGATCGAGCTCCTCTAGACACTGTGTTTATTATACATTTTATGGTAATGGAATCAAGTTTCACTTTAAATTTTTAATCGTACGTCAGATACTGGTAGATCTTCGGTCTTATTTTCTAACTTCAAAATGTATCACATTTTTCAATTAGATATTTATGGAATTATATAATTTTTAAAGCCTCTGTCGCTTTTGGAACGAATGATAAAGAAACATATTAAAAATTTATTTATACTCATCTAAAGATTGCAATTGTCAATAGCTTTTAAGCGTTTATCACTTTGCTTAGACAATTCTAACGAGGAAATATTAAAAAAAAACGAAAGCACTAACAAAGCACCTCCATTAGATGACGGCTCTAGCAAAAGTAGATTTTTGCAGGAAACGAATGGACCAAAGACAGTCATGTCCGTTCCTTTTAACTAAAATATTAAAAAACTGAAATTTGAAAAGTTCGAAACTTATATGTCAATACAAATATTAAAAAGTACAAATAGAATATGAGTTGTTTATTGAGCTTTGAAAACTAATTTACCTTTAAACATGAAAGAAAACCGGAATGGTTGTCATGGAGAAATCGAGAACGTACCGTAGCGACATCTAGTTTCATTTCTTTTAACTAACATATTAAAAAACTGAAATTTGAAAAGTTCGAAACTTATAGGTCAATACAAATATTAAAAAGTACAAATAGAATATGAGTTGTTTATTAAGCTTTGAAAACTAATTTACCTTTAAACATGAAAGAAAACCGGAATGGTTGTCATGGAGAAATCAAGAACGTACCGTAGCGACATCTAGTTTGATTTGGGGAATTAACGTTTTTTTTAAATAGGTACTTCCTCATGAACGATATCGTTAATTTTTTTTTCAAAATAACGTCGCGGCTTTAGACACTGTCACATGGCAAATAGTTGCAGTCACAGGTTGCAGTGTTTATTCGCTGGATACTCGTGATGATCTTTCTTTGCGATTGCTATAGATTTTTAAAATTAGACAATGAGGAACTTACCACACGCTTCTTTCCCTTGATGATTAGTTTTTAACGATTAGTTATTTTCATTTCGTTCTTCAACAATTTTACTATTTCTATTCAGCAAACTTAGATAAGCTTCGTCACGTCGAGAATTGTGGTCGTTCTCTTACCAGCCTGTACGAGAAGCATATACGTCGGGTTCTCGCTGACATCACAAGCGATGCGTTAACATGGACCCTCCTGTCGCCAGACAGATGTCTGTTCGAGTGTGTGCTCATGCATTCAGGTTAGAACAAACCTTAAAAGGCTAGATTAATACGGGTGTGGACAGTAAAAGAATATTAATATATTTTTTTTCTGGTTATATTTAATATACTATCGATAATTACACTTTTATGCTTAGTATATATGTATAATATTGCTTAAATTTATTATGAGAAAACAAATATTTATTACTCGTTGTCACGTGACCCCAAAAGCGCGTGACGTCAGGCCCCTCTTATTTACATTAGAACTTAGAGAATTAAATCTTAAGCATATATAGAACGATATTAGTTTTGGAGGAGCGTGACGTCATAGCGATGCTATTAGAGAAGTTGGCGTTGTCGCGGGAAATTTAGTAAATTAAATTTCTTTTCAGATTATAACTTATATGAAAGATAGAATGATACTTAAAATTTTTTTTTCTTTGTATTTTATGTATTAAATGAAATAAAAATATAAAAAAGTTGTGTTCGGGGTGTAGATTGTAGACTTATATACGTGACCTACTCTTAAATGATTCTCTTGCTTTCTTGCTTGCTGGTCGGTGATTACTCGTAGTATATATAAAGATACCTTGCTATTCTTTTTATGTAGTCTACACTAATAATAAAAGAAGATATATTTGTATGTTTGCATTGAATAGGTTACAAAATTACTAAATCGATTTGAATAATTTTTTTACCTACGGAAAGCTACATTATTTCTACGCGCGTGACATAGGCTACATATTATGATCGCGACAAAACAGCTTGTAACATATAAATATATTTTACACCATTTCTTGCAAGCAGAAAATAAAAATATGGTTCATTACTATATATTAAATGAATCAAGTGGGAAAACATTTCTCAGATCTTAAACTTAATACCCATGTGTCTAACTCTCTTTATGTTGGTTGAATTTAATACAAAGAAAGTACCACAACATCCAGATACAAGACAATATAGAAAAGTTAATTATCTAAATTGACTCGACCGAGAATCGTACAACGGAAGATGGCGGCACTTTGAAACCGACATTTGAACCAATCGGCCACGGAAATAAGTTTTAACCTAATAAATATCGTATTATATTTTTCCATTTAGGATCAGCAATGGGTGGCCAATTGCATCTGATCGCACCACTTCTGAAGGAATGTTTGGCGACTCCTAAAGTAGACCCCGAGGTGAAGCTGAAGATCTTCACGACCCTTTCGACAGTGTTGTTAAAACGGCAGACTAATTTTTGCAAGTGCGACACTGATAAGTTGGAGGCTTTCCTCAAGATTGTTATTGAAGGTAAAAACCCATAGTTAGAGCAGCTCGGTGGCCCGCAATCGTTGTTGTTAAGCAACTTTCGCAAAAGTAGGTCACGGGATGGGTGACAAAAAGAATTATTATCTCGCGCTAGTCGGTGCTACGGAAGGCATGTTAAGCCGTTGGCATGTTAAGTCCCGGCTGCATTTGCAGTAGTTAATGTCCTCCAATTCGCATTGGGCCAGCGTGGAAGGTCATGGCCCATCCTCCTTAAGCATCTATAAGGGAGGCCTGAGCTCCTGCAGTGGGGACTTAAAGAGCTGATGATGATGATATAGGTATGCAAAGACTTCTATTTTTACTACTTATATGATTCAAAAGTACTTTGAATCATCTAAGTAGGAGTCTATTTGAATAAATAATAGGTATTTTAGAATTATAGTTTATTGCAGGGTTGCTACCATTTACCTTGTTTTTCTTAAAGATTATTTTGACTTTGACTTTGAGACCAGCTGTTCGGCATTGGAAAATTACTCGCTAAGTGTTGTGTCAAACAACACATCGTTTAGTCTATGATATTGCCCTCTCGCTTCTTAGTAATATTAGATTAGAAGAGATGGCAACGCGCTCGTACTGTGTCACAATTTTAGTTAGGAACAGCTTGTATAAAATGCGGATGCTTGTATAAATAATGGAAAACGCGGACGAAGTCGCTAGCGGCCACTAGTTATATATAAAAATGCTGTATTTCGCTGAAGAAATGTTGGTGACCCTAATAGTAGTATTATACAAGTAGTAGTAGTTTAAAAGTCTTTGTATCGATGCAATAAAAACTTTGGTGAAAATGGTGTTGCCAGATGTGATAATGCCGAACTTGGTGTGGTCTGCGGGGAGAATATCCGAGGCCATCAGGACAGCGGCGGTCGCTTGTTTATGTTCCGCGCTGCAGGAATCTCCACAGAATAACGATATTCTCAACGTAGAAACGGGCGGCGACGGCGATAAGAATGAGAAGGTGATTATTATCAACTAAGAAATTGAGAAATGGTCTTTACTCTGGAAAATTTATCTATGTCTTTTATGTCACTAATAAATAGTAGTAAGACAATAGGGATGATGACTGGGTAAAAAAATGCAATTCTATTTAGTCCGTCAGTCAGATAATTGAAAAATATTAGATACGTATTTTTTTTACTTCAATTTAACAAGAAATAGCTGTTATCTAACAGGCATTAAAGTTGCGGAGTGGGGGCTCGCTACGTCACAGTTTAGTAGAAAACGTACTCTAACGTGACGTCATGCGAAATTTCAACTCCATGTAATGCCGTAATTTTATGATTACGAAAAAAATTAAAAAAAACGTGTTTAATATTTTTTAACACTCTACCTGACGGACAAACAAACAAAAATTAGTCATCATCCCTATTCTTGAATGGATTCCAAGACGACATATAATTACATTTTTACTTAATTATGTACTATCTAGTTGAGTATATATTTTTTCTATATATTGGGTTACCATTAGAATAGCTTTCCCAACCTGTGGTCCGCCAGCCTCTGGAGATCCGCATATCCTTAGCACGGCGAATGTGCACTCGGAATTACAACAAAGTTTAACTAAAATGTTACAGATTTGGGTGCCAGTAAATAGTAACACTTTAACGCATTTTTGAAAAACATCAAAACCAACAAATCGAAAAATCTACGACCTATTTTTTACATATATATATACATGTGGGGTCCTTTGGTCTCGCGCTTTAGGTATACCGTAGCTATCCGTGGATAAGAAACGGTCAGGAAGCGGGATTAACTGCGAATAAAAAATGAGCTTTTGCATATTGTTTCTGGTCTGGGGGTTTGTCAACGTCGTTCTCTCAGATATCAGCTACCCGTCTTGGAATCTGAGGAATGTTTGTAAAGTTTTCTAATATTGTTTAATTTAACAATTCCATTTACAGGAAGTAAACCTTTTTCCTACTAAAGAGTCCTTAGAGCCGTTCATAGACAAAATGGTGCCGCTTCTGGTTGGCTTGGCGGATGATAACTCCACTCTGACTCGTCAACACACGCTGCGAGCTATATGTTATCTCAGCAACCTCGCCAAGAAACGCAGTTGTTTCACAGCTGAAGTACTGCACAAGATATATTTCGGTTAGTTGATATTTCGAACGATAATTTACCACAATATGTAAAAAAAATAATGGATTTTGATCTATACACTCAAAGTAATAAGGCTTAAAATTGAGTGGGGATATTTGGCAGTTTTGTATAGTCTGTTGTGCTGGTGATAATAAATGTATTAAAAAAATAAGTATGAGACCATAAAATACTCGCGAGCGAAGTTTTCCGTACCATAATCTATAAAAAATGCTAAAAAAATCACGTTTGTTGTATAGTTGTATAGGAGCCGCGTGGTTGGCGTGCCAGTTGCAAGGTGTCGCCATCTCTAAGGTCCTCCCGGGTTCGACTCCCGGTCAGATCATTGTAGAAAATAAAGTTTTGTATATTGTTTCGGTTCTGGGTGTCGTGGTACCTTCGTTGTCCCAGATACTCCACAATATGGGGGCTTTAGCTACTCATCTTGTAATGTGAGCTATGTATATGATATTCATTTATTTTTAAATATTTCTTTTATTCTGTTTAGTATTTGTTGTTATATAGCGGCAACAGAAATACATCATGTGTGAAAATTTTAACTGTCTAGCTATCACGGTTCTTGAGATATAGCCTGGTGACAGACGGACGAATAGCAAGTATAATAGTATAATAAAATAGTCTAATTTTTGCCATTTGGGTACGGAACCCTAAAAATCGAATGGACTTGAAGCGTTATTTTTTACGTGTGTATAAATATGTGTAAGAAATTTTTTATTGTGACACTCGAAAGTTACAGCAATGCAGCTGACTGGTATTGTTGCAGTCTAGTATATTATTAATATTACGTACAAGTCGTACAAATATTATATTGTAGTATACATGTCGCGACCAAGTGGTTTAATCCGGCCATCAATTGTGCGGCTAGCCCTTTAATAGAATGACGCCATTCTTGAACGGCAGATTTACCCAGTTAGCTGCGACATACATATGATTGAAATTTAAAAATGTGACCCATTTACCTCATTGACGATGAAATGAAATGCTTTATAATTTAAAAATACTTAAATATATCGAATTTGCAGATTGTATGTACACACGGCTGCATGTCAGGTTACCACAATATAACAACTGCAATGGATTTTAACACTTAATATTTTAAGGATTAAAATCAAGTTGACGATCGTTGTTATTAAGCAACTTTCGCAGTGGTGGGTCACGGGATGGGTGACCAAAAATATTATCTCTATCGTGATTGGGAAGGCAATTTAAGCCGTTGATAGCGGCTAAATTGCAGTCGTTAATACCCTCTAATCCGATTTGGCCAGTGTGGAGGATCATGGCCCATCCTCCTTAACCATCCTTATGGAAGGCTCCTGTTGATCAAACTCTTTATTGATTTTAAACCTCAATGTGGTAAAGTTGGTAACCTGTGCCGGTCTGTATACAAAACATATTTCTCTCTCTAGTGGTGGTGAAGCGTCTCGACGACAGCAGCGATAAAGTCCGTTCGTACGCCGTACAAACGTTGTGTACGTTGTTTATGAATCGGCCCGACCCGTACGATACGGTCGTGTACGGGCCACACGTCGACGCACTGTACAGTGCCATGTTAATACACCTCGACGATACAGAAGAGTCCTTCAGGAAGGAAGTGCTGGGTTAGTATATCGTTAAGAGCTGGGGGTAAAAATTACGGGTGTAATTAGTAAACGATAAAAAAAATAAGTATTTTTTTTCTGGTAGTGGTTAATATACTATACATAAATAGTAGTTTATGCAATTGTCATATAAGAAGGGGTATTAAAACACGAGAGTCTGTTTCAATAACTAAGTTATATGCAGTTTCATATACTACTCTATCTTCACTCATATGAAAAATTGAAATTAAACAAAGTAATTTATGCGTGCGCCATTTTTTTCACAGTTCGAACTGCGTATGCGTGCGCCTTTTTTTCCTATTCAGCCTAAAATACATAGACTAGTTTAATGAATAAAAAAAGGATAGCGGTACTATAATGATCATAAAATAGTTACATTAATCTCAGTAAGAGGCGCTGATGTTGCACTGTTTTTGTATACATGATGTATTTTTAGTTTTAGGTTATACAACAAACTAAAGAAAGTAGGGTGTCCAAACAACTTTAGTGAGATAAGTGTAACTTTTAGTGAGATAAGTGTAGGACTGTAGTGCGAAGATGCGGCAGCAAAGGCAATTTCATAGTTTTATGGATGTCGCAAGATTATCAATAAAGACAGGATTTTGAGCTAGCTCCAGAGGATGATTAAAATATATTTGAGGATATAAAAGTATTTGAAATATGAACTGAACTAAATTTCCTATATTCACAACTGTAGGTCACATGATAGGTTGGTTATTTTTTTTCAGGTCACAAAATGATATTAGCATTTAACAGCCGTATAAACAAGCTATTTTAGCAAATAAATAAATTTCTTTTTGGACACCCTACATTAATTATATGACCAAACGTGAATTGCCATATGATTAAATTTTGATGCTTAAACGATAAGATCAATTTAAGGTGGCCGTTTCATGAAATACAACCATTTTGACATCGTTAAATTGACTGAAATATTGACGTATTTTCTTATTCTACTAATATTCACTATTATTTGCAGATGCTCTCCTGAAACTGTGTGATGTAGACCCAAAGCTGATACTGAAGAAGGTGCAAGCCAACATTCATCTCTTTAGGAATAAGGCTGCATACGAGCGCTTGTCTAGTCACGCAGAGAAACTAGTCAAAGAATAATTTTTCAAATTTAGTTTAGTTAGTATAACATAGTTATAATGAAGTGCCTTTATTTATGTTTGTTGTGTTAGTTTTTATTTGAACTATAAAATACAAATAATGCCAAAACTTTATTTCATTTATCAAACAAAAAGCTACAAATGTTGGTCTACCTCTGAATTCGTTATTAAAAAATATTTATAGGTTATCACTTATTTTAAGGTTATCACTGATATATCCTAGACTGATAGATAAATTAATAAATAACGATTAGGGTTTTTGGAAACGTTCCTCGTCGTTATTAGATTTAATACAGCAGTTAAAAAAACCTATTGTTTATATTCTCTTTAGTATTCAAAACAGTCTGACGTCGGCCTGGTCCCGCTCGGCCTTCACGTTCGAGCGCATATTGCTCGCACGTGTACATGCGAGAACAGTCGCCTCAAAGAGTAGTATATTATAATATTCGCCTACTCAGTCAAAAAATGTGCGTCAAGATTGGGAATCTGAGGGAAACTGGGAAACATTTATCCAGCTGCTGCTACAATTTTCGATACTGGATATTTTATATCGGTCAAAAATATCAATATATTGAATTAAAAATATCGATGTATCGATACATCTATACTTTTTCTGCAAGCCTATGACACACGATTTAGTAGTTTTAATAGATTTGAGTAGGCTCTTTAAAATATTCCAAACTTTTTCATCACAATCTCTTTGTACTAGCACATGAACATTTAATGAGGTTACGGAATGTTGATTGGGAAAATACTAGAAATAGAGCGGGAAAGTATTATTTTGACATTCAGAGAACTATCCCCAGTACTTCCTGGTTCTTTAAGGAGAAGCTTTTAAGTAAAAAAACTATTTCAAATATTATTTGTCGCCTGAGAATTATTGTGTCCCCCCAGTTCGACTTGCCAAATTTAAAATTAAAGACAACCCCCTCTGCGATTGTGGCATTGAAGAAGGAACTACGGATCATATTTTATTTAATTGTTCAAATTTATCCATTTCGTTTTATGATTTGCTACCATCAAAAGTTCCACGTCCAACAAATATAAAATGTATCTTGAGTATGGAGAATCCCAGCCCATTCAAAATTTTATCTAAATTCCTTGCAATCAATTATAGTCTTAATTTATAAATATCTTTGTTGTCTATATACATTCTATTTGTATTATCTTTAACAATGTAATCAGATAGAAGCGCTCAGAGCTATTTTTTTTATTTAAATTCAAAATTTACATATTTTATTATTGTTTCTATACGTGTAAAGACCACAAACGTGACATTGGCGGAATTGTGTAAATGCAAATAGGCTATGAATTAAAAAAAGAAGAAGAAGAAGAGTAGTCTCGCTCGCTGCGCTCGCTGCTGACAGTGACAGGAAAAAAAAAAGATTAAAGAGAGGAAACTTCGGTGTGTTGCGTTCGCTCCTTTTTGTGATGCGGTTGTTTTTCGATGTAAAATTAATATATGAATTTTGATTTGATCGTTTCCATATTAAAATACCAATAATGGAGGTTACTAGGAAAAGTGAGTAGAATTTCACTTCCTTTTGTTCGGTTCAACTTATGATTTCTGTGATAGTTCAAGTATTGTTTTACCATTGTTTCAGATTTTAAAAAGGCTTTGCCACTTGTAAACGAGTCTATAGGAAAGGCAGATTTCTTGGCTATTGATGCAGAGTTTACAGGTTTAATGAACGGAAGGGATGTATCATTATTTGATTCTCCATCTGAGTATTACAATCGGCTATACAATGGTGCCAGTGAATTTTTACCGATTCAGTATGGAATATGTGCGTTTTATTGGAACGAAGAAAAGAAGCACTATATGAATGATGCATATAACTTTTATTTGTTCCCTCGAAGACCTGGACCTGAGAAAATATTTATGTGCCAGAGCTCAAGTTTGGACTTCTTAGCTTCACAGGGTTTTGATTTCAACAAATTGATAAAAGAAGGTGGGTTTTTAATGGTTTTTGTACTTGATTTTTTTTAATATATTAATTCAAATATGTTATAAAAAATGTTTCTTTATTTATTTGCTATGAGAAGTTTCATTAATATTTGGCTCGCTATAAATTAATCAGAATTTTCCATAAAATTATAAGCTAATCATTATATTTTATATTTTGATTAATAAAGTTGCTTAGTTCATTGTATAACCATGTATTTGTTTAAGATGGCATTTAAATTACAGGAATATCTTATATGACTGAGGCAAATGAGAGCAGACTGCGTGATATATTAACAGAAAGACAAAAAAATTATTCTGTAGAAAAAGACCTTATAAGCATACCAGAACAACATAAACAACAAATTTCAGACATTTGGTATAAAATTTATGTTAATCCTAATGAATATTATCATTCCCAACCCATTAATGCCATAACTGCTAGGGCTCAGGCTTCCCTATGGAATGAATTGAAAAGGGAGAAAGGGCTATGACTCATCATGTAGACCCAGTATAGATTAGTGCATGTTAATGACTACAGTTGCAGCCAGACCAGTGGTTTAATGTGCCTTTTAAATTGCAGAGGAGCTTGACGTAATTTTTAGAGATAATTTGGTTTTGATGATTGTCAAACAGCTTAGAGTAACATTTTCTATTTTATTTATTTATTTGTTTCCTTATACCAACATTGGTTGCTTGAAGTGAATTGCTGCAAAGCAACAAAGCTCCCTTTTGTATACTGTTCTTTGATGCTTCTGTTTGAAATGTATCCTGTTTAAGAATGTGTAATAAAGATTATTTATTATATATTTGTGTAAGTAATTTTTACTTTACAATACAATACAAAAATTCATTATTGTACACACCATTGTCCACAAAATTATGTCTGAATAATAGTATATAAGGTAGTACAAGGGCGTCCTTATTGCATAGAGCAATTTCTTCCAGACAACCTTTGGATGGACTTTAATATTCATTTATTGAATATGCCGTACCTTGTGTACAATACTTTTGTTTTTATTATATTGTGATGTCTCTTTATTATCATTGCCTACCAATTTTAGGTATAAAAACTGTTACCTAATCCAACTTTCTCCATTTTTGCCCATCCCAAATTTCTGGCTGGAAATATCTTGGTCTGAAGTAGCAACTTCAGACCTTGATATTTCCAGCCAGACCATAATCTTGTTTTCTGGATTTTTCTAGATCTCTTTTGTGGATTTCTGCTTTCAGCAAAAGAGTGCGTAAGTTTCTGGATGACAAAGATGCAGAGTGCATGGAAATTGATCGCTGTAATAATTTTGTCAGAAGATTATTGTTTCAAGAGCTTGCTCAGTTTAAAAGTGAAGCATTTGTTGAAACAAAGATTTTAGAAAATCAAAACAGGTAATTATTTTCAGTGTTTGTTCAGAAAGATATGTCATATGTAATTAAATATATTTTTACTTTGCACTTTTTTTCAATATCAAAATTTGTGTATACAATCTGCAAATATTATCATGCAATTATTATAATTTTATTAATTTTGCGTTCACAATGCCACACTGAAAATTATTCTTAATACAAAATGCTTAAAAAATCCACTTGGTCCCTGGCACCCTGAGATGGGAATCGAACCCACGACCTTTTGCAATCCGGGCCCATCTCAGGGTGCCAAGTACCAAGTGATTTTTAAGAATTATTGTCATCTATTTACAATTTCCATTAATATCAGTTTGTATGATGTTCTTGTTTGTAACAGTTTTTCATATTGATGAATCATAATATCTACTTCATTTCAGGGTACTTAAGGTGACACGTTTAAAAGAAGGAGATGACATTACAAGTAAAGACAATGAGAAAAAAGAGAAAGAGTGGGAGGAGGTTGAGGATGCTGTGGGTTTCTCCAAAGTAGTTCGGATGATCAGTCAGTCGGTAAGCAGGAATGAAAATGTGTTTATATGAATTTATCTATTAGAGACCATTGATTATTGACGGTTGACTCATGATCACACTCGCACGGCAAGCATATCTGTGATTGTACCCTTCTCACTGTCAGTATCTATATCGGTCTGCAATTTCACTGACTGTGGGAAGGTAGCTTTATAATTAAGTTTTTATTAGATCTTAAAGGTGGATTGTTTCCACTATTCAACACTTTGTGCCTATTTTGCATACAGGAATTTAATCCACAATTGAGTATTGCCATCATTGCTTTCAACCTTCCTGTTAATATGTACTAAATAAAACATAAAAATTTATTGCGATTACCAACATTGTGCATGTATCATTCATTTTGTTTTGTTCATGTGTTGTTTTACATAAGGTTCACCTTAATTTAGATCCTTAACAATTAAAAATGCTTAAAAGTAAGGAAATAATGTGGCGTTAGCTTATTTTCAGGCTTGCGATCTTGTATAAAAGGGGATATTAATGGAATAAAATTAGCCAAAAATGTCACATGGGTCGTTTAGAGTAGTGGTTCTTAATTTTAGCCCTCGGGGACCATTCTTTATTATCCTATGACACCACAGTCCACTGTTCGGGCTATCAACTGTTTTTCTCAGGTACAAACAGCCTTTTTGTATGTTACGTACGTTTTACCACCGGTTAAGAACGACTGATTTAGACCTTTAATCAGAATTTCACGTATTATCTAGTTTGTGACGTAGCTTCGCTGCCTAACGCCCTGTTGCACAAATGTCTATTAAAGTTGAATGACGATTTTAATTTTAATGAATGTTGCTTTAAAACAAACAACTGTTAATGGAATTTTGTGCAACTGGCAGTATATGGGGTTAAATATGTATAAAAGCAATATATTTAATGATAGTTTTGATTGTTTGTCGCAGGGCAAGCTGGTGATAGGTCACAATATGTTGCTTGACGTGCTGCATACTCTCAACCATTTCTTTCAACCATTACCAGAGGATTATCCTTCTTTCAAAGAGTTTGCGCATTGTATGTTTCCAAGGCAAGTCTACATCAAACTGTGCTTGTCTTTATGTTTGTGGAATATGCCATATGATTAATCCCATTTTGGTCGCAGTCACTGGCATTTCTGCTGGTTTGGTAAATTGGAATTTTCTATGTTACTATTTAAATAAATTTATCTTGCTAACGGTGTCTTGAATTTGTTTCAATTTTTTTTTTCATTAACCAAATATGTGTCTTCTATATAATTATAATATTAGTTCAAACATTGTTTAATGAAAATATGGATTAAATTTGATTAGAAACCTTTATTCTGATCACAAAGTAGTTTGCACATTCCAAATAAGAAGACATATTAAAATGGTATACATTTCTAGGTTATTAGATACAAAATACATGTCCAGCCTGCCCCCCTTTAAAGACAAGATCAATTCAAGCGTATTACAGCATTTGTTCATCACACTATCTGAAGAACCATTCTCTCTTCCCAAAGCTGGTAAGTCTGTAATAAAAAGGTAGACATAGACAATAATAGACAATAATTGATTAAAAAAAATGCATATTGCTATTTGATAATTCTGAATTATCATAATTTATAGGCATAATTTTTCTATGAATAAATAATTAAAACTAGAACCAACAATGTGCAGAGACTTCATATCCAGTAGAAAAATATAATTATCAGCCCTTTTACATCTCCACTGCAAGGGCTCAGGGCTTCCAAATGGATGGTTAAGGAGGATGGGCCATGATCCTCCACACTGGCCCAATGCGGATTGGAGGGTATAACGACTGCGAATGCGGCCGGGACCAACAGCTTAAAGTGCCTTCCGTAGCACCGACTAGCGCGGGATAAAAGTTCTTTTTGGCACCCATCCCGTGACCTACTTTTGCGGAAGTTGCTTAAAAACAACGATCGCGGGCCACGGCGCTTATTCACTACGCCAACGAGCTGCTCTATCTACATTTTTATTCGATCTCCTTTAAGCGAAGCACAGCATTTTTTCGGTCACCCATCCCGTGACCGACCCTTGCGAAAGTTGCTCAACAGCAACGATCGAACCGCGGCGCTTATCCACTACGCCACCGAGCTACTCTAGCAAGTTTAATATTCTAAGCTGACGGAGAGCCGAAAATAGTTATTTAAGATACGAGTGCGGAAAGTAAGGTTTTACGAATAAAGGCCAAATTGAAAACACGGGCGAGGATTTTCATTGGCCCGAATTCAAAAAACCTTTTACGCTCAAGTTTCTTACAACATTTTTCAATGCTTTTTGCGAGGAAATAAAACAAATATATAGGTTAATAAAGCTAAGTATGTATTAAAGGTAAAAATTATTTGTTAAAATTAAACGTGATATTTGAACATGTTTTCGTGTTATATATTTTTATTTGAAAATATTCGTTCTAGGCTCCTTGAAATACTTTTGCCTCTAAAGTTTGACATATTTTCATCATTTTTTTATTTATTTCTTTGGTGCTCGGCCAAAAAAAAATAATTAAAAAAATACTTTTAAGCACGTGTGCAGTAAAGGATTTCAGTACATTTTTATTTAACACGTGTTTCAAGACTCACTTTCGGTGTTTACAATGGATTAAAAAAATAACGCTTTATGAGCAACCGCATTGAAAAAAAAAATTTAGTTGCCATTGCTATTACATGTGCGCAGACTCTGTGAACGATCGCGGCTACAGTAGCACGGATGATAAGCACCACGAGGCCGGGTACGACGCGTACGTGACCGGGTTGTGTTTCCTCGGGATGTACCTTCATCTGTCACGCATGCGCGGCGAAGACAGCGCGCGGCTGCGGGATCCGACCTCGCCGGTGTTGAAGCCGTTCATGAACAAATTGTTCCTGGCGAAGACTGCGCACCAAGATTCGCCTTACATGAACCTTACGGGCGCTGATCGTGAGTACCTAAGCGCCTGTTTATTCATTCAATAGAGTTTCGACGGCACTTTACAGGGAGGGAATAAGGATATATTTTGAAAATGTTTTCGTATGATAATTTATATCATTTAAGATTGTATAAGACGGGTGTTAACGCGATAGATTTTGATTGGTTTTTCATTTGAATTATTAACAACGTAGAATCCAGTGATAAAAACTTTTCACGGTTGCCGGACCACCAGAATACGGCTGCGATACAGAATAGGGATTCCGTTAGTGTTGTGTGTGACGGTACCTGGAGAAAAAACTGGACGGTAGAAGTGGATTGAAAAACCTAGCTATCGAAATCTATCGCGTTAATACCCGTCTTATACAATCTTATATAATGCAACGCGAAAGTTTATGATTTATATCATTATATCCATTTTGGTTTTGCAGGTTACTACCTATTTGCTTTCTAGCGTCGATATAACTAAATGAAACAACTTTTAAACGGTTTCTTAGCGTTTGTATTTAGTTTTATTGACGTTTCGGACCCTTTACAGGTTCCGTGTTCACATAAGACTAAGGTTTTGATAGTGAAAAAACATCTGAATTTTAATATAGATGAATATTGACATGTACAACCGGCTTGGGATCCAGTGATTAGTCAAATAAAATCTATCGCTGTATTGCTCTTAAATAAGTATATAAGAGGTTGAATTCATAATACGGCGGCCATTAGCATGGTCGTATTGGCGTTGCATTCAAAATAAAAAAAAAAACCTATTGGTCTTCATTTTAAAACATTTTTGAGAAATTGTCAATAACCCTTTTCATAAAATAACAATTCCATTACATACCATGGTGGATTAAAATACGATTTCCCATGAAAGAATATTATTTTCTTAACGTATTTATAATTGTTTTTCTTATTTTTTTGTGGAAAAATGAATTGAGTTATAGATTTATTTATTGGTAATAAACATTTCAATAATTATTTACAGAAACATGCGCACTTTATTACATTTTTATGGTGTTTATTTGTAACTAAAATGTTTTGTCCGTCACAGCGGACATTGCTAATTGTATAGAAAAGTAATACTTTATTACTTTGTCCGCTGCGGCGGACAACGCCAAAATGTGTGTGCTTCTGCTTGTTTGGTTATGGCTCTGAGTTTGTTTTTTTTTTCTTTGCCAACAGCCTAATTGCGCAAGTAAAATTATTGCTTTAGTGCCGAATGAACATGCACCTTCCGATGCTAGCGAAATATCAGATTCGGAAACTGAATTGCATGATTGTGCAAGGCAAACAGGTCGGCTACAAGAAAACAGACTGAATCCGTCAAAGTAAAGAAACCGCATGCACCCCGCCCTTTGAGTCCATTAAAATACGACAATATAGGACATTTCCCTTGTAGTGTCATAGTGTAGCGTTAGTCTTTATGGTAGTTGTAATAAAGTTCTTTTTTCAGCGACACCGTCGAGGGATCATGTGTTCCATTTGACATTTCCGCTCGAGTGGCAGAGGAATGATATCAATCAACTATTCAGTCCTTTTGGTAAGTCTAAGTCTCTAAGGTGGAATGTGGAATTATATGTAAAACGGTTTCATCAGTTTTGACTGTCAAGACGACCAGTAGAATTATGTTATTTTACTAGTCATCTTGACAGTCAATACTTATTAATGGACATGTTTTAGTTTATCCTCGTAATACTTTCATTGCTCTGAATTAAGAAACCGGCCATTTGTGAGTCGGGCTCGCGCGCGGGTTCCAAACCGAAAACGAGTAAAAAATGTACGTTTGTTGTATGGATCCTTAAATATTTATTTTATTATGGTTTTTAGTATTAGTTGTTTGAAGCGTCCACATAAATACATAATACAACCTGGTGACACACAGATAGACAGCGAAGTCATAGTAATAGAGTTCCCCTTTATAACATTTGGATATGGAACCCTAAAAATGGAGTTTCAATAAAGATTTCAATATAGCTGTATCTCTCGCCGTTGTTTTACGAAGCGATGGCATAGAGTTTCGATTTTCACAAGTATGCATATAATAGTCTAAACGGAATAAGAGATATTGATTTTTGTGAAAAGTTCTTTAAGGAAGAAAAAGTATGCATTAACAACCTTGAATTAACACATTTTTCCTCACATACACTCACACACACATACAGTTACTCCCACTCACACATATACATACACACTGACAAATGCACAAGCACTTAGTAAGATGGGCATTGAATAATAATGTTAATATTGTTTTCCTTATTGAATCGGTAATGCTATTGTCTCTTTCTTTTCATTCTTTTCATTATTTGTCATAAAATTTATAAGTATATTTCTATATAACGACTGGAAGAGCGGTGGCCTCCTGATACAGGTATTATATGTACTTAAAAGGAGGCACACCATGATGTTCGTTATTGTAAATTGTGGAGAGATAATAAAGTATTATTATTATTATACGGGTGTAGACAGTAAACAAAAATAAATACCTATGATTTTTTTTCTGGTAGTGTCCAATATACTATTTCCGATAATCACATTTTATGCTTATTATATTTATAATATTGCTTACACTGATTATGGAAAAACAAATATTTCATGCTCGTTGTCTCGCGCTGTTGACTGACTTATTTCAGAACTTTTCAACCTTATGAATACACAGAACGATATCGTTTCGGAGTGCCGTGAAGTCATACCGTCACCAAGACGGAAGTTGACGGTCACGCGGGAAATTTTAAAAATTAAATTTATTTTTAGAATTTACTTATTATATGAATGATATATATTTTTTTAATATTTCGCTAGATATATTGTCGTAGCCAAGTGGTATAATCAGCTGATCAATTAGGCGGCTAGCCTTATTTTGGAATTTAATGGCGTCATTCAATTAAAGGGCTAGCCCAATTGATCGGCTGATTGTACCACTTGGCTGCGACATCATGATATAAAAAGTTGTCTACACTCCTGTACTGGGGATATATTAATTCCTTTGATTATACACAGCGGTTCATCATATTGCTACAAAACGTCAAATCTGTTTTGAACTCTTAAAACAATGAATTAAGGTTTAAAGTTGTGGTGAAATTTCACAGTTCCGCCTTCCGTATAACGTGATGTGTAACAGGTCCGGTGACGGTTCAGTTCCTGGACGACGTGTCAGCGATAGTCGCGTTGACTAGACGTGAACAAGCCCGTGACGTCGCACGGGCACTTAGTAAAAATAGTAAAGTGTCACTCGTTTCCTTCACCAAGTACAAGCATAAAACGACCAGTGGGAAGGTAAATTTTTATTTACTTTATTTTTTATCAGTTAGTACGCGACGGATGTTCCGTCGAGTGTGCAATGCTTAATGTTATTTCATATATTTCTCAGTTCTGGCGTTTTCGTTCGTTCGTTCGTCGTCAGCCTTTTTACGTCCCCTCTGCAGGGGGTCAGGCCTTCCTTATGGATGGTCAAGGAGGATGGGCCATGACCCTCCACGCTGGCCCAATGCGGATTGGAGGATATTAATGACTGTAAATGCAGCCGGCACCAACGGCTTCACGTGCCTTCTGAAGCACGAAGTAGCTCGAGATAATAATTTTTTGGTCACCCATCCTGCGACCGACCCTTGCGAAAGTTGCTTAACAACAAAGATCGCGGGCCGCTGCGCTTATCCTCTACGCCACCGAGCTTCTTCTCTGGCGTTTTGCTACTTGTCAATTCTGGTACAGTGCTATTAATAAACAAGGTTTAGCGTTGGAGTAAATTACGCTGTGACTGCACTAGTATTAGTCCAATTCATATTATTAAACAGTGACTCAGCAAAGGTTAATCCAGTACGAGGTTCTACTGGAGTAATATTTACTCCTAGAAGGTTGTAGGTTTGCTTATTGGCTGTATGATAGGAATTTGGACCGATTGCAATTTTAGCGTAATTTTACTCTGACACTAAACTTTGTAATAGCTCTGTTAATATTTACGCAATAGTCGCATCTCAATAGAATATCAACTACTTTCATTTTGGTATTGTACGAGTACTATCTATTAGTGCAATGTTATTAGTGCAATGTCTTCCTCGCGCATCAATGGTGGCAGATATATTGGACTTCAGTTAGATGATACAACGGAAATGAAAGTAGAAACGCACATTACGTAAATATTAACAGAATCGGTCTACTGGACTATTACGTAAAGCACAGCGTAGATGGCATTAATTTTGTCTTTTTGAAATGAATGATTCGTCCTTCTTACATTCAAATATGCAGTAATAATGTATTGTTGGATAAAATTACACTCTTTCCAATTATAAATTTAAAAAAAAAAATGCAATAAAATACCTACTATGCTAATTATTACTTTACTATTTGCTTGCTACTCTGCGAGTGACGTTTGATGTTTATAAAAAAACTGTTTACTACATGCGATAGTGCTTCAATCTGGCGATAGTAAGGTGCAGTAATAAGCCCCATTTGTATCTTAAATCATATATGCAGCGACTCTTTAAGGTTGAGAACGTTTAAATACGGTTAGCACTTGCTCGAAAGTCTAGAAATTTGATGTATAAATAACCTGACATACTGTTGACTATAGTAAAATATTAAACAAAAAAAAAATACGCCCATTCGAGCCCTGAACGGGCGACAATAGCTTATACACGTAGGGCTGTCGCTTATAGGTTATTTAATTGCCAGAAATGCATAGTAAAGTAGCGCAGTTTATGCGTGCGTAGCTACGACTGGCGATTTGCCATTCGTAACTGATCATCTTTAATGTGCATAAATTTTGTAAGTGTGTGCGTGCGGCGACGCATACGTACGGACGCGCTCCCATACAAACCATTTTTGGCGAATGTATGAAGTCAACGTACTCTTTGGTTTTATCTATGGTTAAATCTCTACTTTTAGTGGCACTAGAATGGAGCACAGCGATTAGATAATATACTGGAATTTGTGCATGCATATATGAGAAAAATATCAATTATATAAGATCAGTAAAAAGAGGTTATCTAATTATCCGATTTTTTGCTACCCATCCTATGACCGACCGTACGTGCTAACTGCGGTCATCGAACTCCATTAATTAACCACGATTAATTAGTAATTTTTAATATCGATAATTGTTAACAGGTACAACAAGTTCGACGGCAGATGTCTCCTTTGAAACACGTGTGCGTATTATGTGTTTTAGCTTTTCTTGTGTATGTGGTCGCATGCTATTACAATTGTTCACTCTGTCCGTTCATATAAAACCAGCCTGAAGTTACGAGATAAAAATGTCAACAAACAAGGGGGGGGAAGTTTAAATGTATAATTCAATGCATTCCATTTTGGAACGAGCAAAAATGAGGCTTTATCCAGCAACAAGAAAAAGAGAAAAAAATAATAACGAAATAAATGAGGTTTTATATATTTTTAAATGACAAAGGGGTCACACTTTGACAGAAAAATTGAAACATGCAACAAATGCAACAAACTTATTAACTATACTATTTATTGCTTGTTGTTTTAAGTATAACATGATTAATTGCAATCAGTTTGTTTCCATTCTTTATCTCGTTGTGATGGCTTTCGTACAGCATTATATGTTTGAATGCCCAGACTTAAACTCGTATCTATAGTCGAGAAAAGTAATTACTTGAGAAAATGGGATAATTTAAGCAGATATTTTAAACTAATAGACGAGAATTTGAAATAAGAACTGTTAAGTTATAAACAGTATTTTAACTACTAACAGTTCTTACTTCATTCAAATTATTTTTTATTTATTTTTAATGAAAATTCCTTATAAAATCCACTTTGTCCCTGGCACTCTGAGATGAGACTCGAACCTTTCGCAATCCGGGCGAGTGCTCGAACCACCGCTACCCAGGATCAAACAGGACTGACAAATGTTGCAAGCACTTGTTGCTTTTTCGCTATTACTGAGCGTATTTTCGTCATTGTTTCAAAACAGCCTAAAGAAATATTTTTACAAATATTTAAACTTTCGATAAAGTTGTAATTTTTTTCTAATTATTATATTTGTTCAATTTTACATTCACAATGTAATACTGAAAAATATTCTTCATGAAAATGTTTAAAAAATCCACTTTGTCCCTGGCACTATTATCTTGTTTATTTGTTAAAAATATTTGCTTAAGTAATTACTTTTACTCGACTATAGATATGGGTGCTAGTAATTTGATCTCTGTTTTTGGATTATGAATCTTATATCAGTGTTTTAGAATTAATTTTTTATATAAGAACGCAAAGCGTTAATTTAAGTAAGGGTTTAGGTATATTTCTTTTTTATTTCTATATGATTTGGTTTCATTTACCTACTTTTATTTTCGAGAATTTTATTGTCGGTGTTATTTAGATGAAAGTTTTCTGTCAATCTAGTTTAAGAAATACCATAGGTATAATTATTTTTTTGTTGGATTTTTTTTACAAATTATTGGATTTAGTTTTCCTATAATTTTATTATCAAAGCAAAGACGACGGAGTTTTATCTATTTAGTACACAGCAAAACAGTATATTACGAAAAAAGTAATATATTTTTAATTTAATCATTGACGGACTAAGATTTAAATTCTATTGGAGAAGTAACACAGTTTTGTATAACCGGATGTGTTGTTAACAGTACATTACGTTATATAAAAACTGCAAGGTTCTCCAAATGATTTTTTATATGTAATCATTTAAAATCAAGTCCAAATTTGAATTTGATATTTTGTAGTACTTAAGTATATCGCGAAGAATCTGATTGTATATTTAAATCTGATCTGATCTAAGAATAATTTGATTTTAAGTGACATAATCTGGTGGACCAACCCGGTGTCTCGAATTTGCAGTAAATACATGAATGGCAGGACCAATTGTTTTATAAATTCCTACTAAGGTATAATAAGTAGATTTAGCTTCGGTACTTACAAACATATACATTCTGTTCCTATCCTAGGGTAGCGAAAAAACATAGATTATGGTCTATAGTCATGTGGATATGTCCGGGATGTCAATATTTTAATATATTCTATTATTAGTTATTATAATATGAAATATGGTTTCGTCCTTCGCGGCCATCATTGTTTCTAAATTATTTAAATAATTACAGCATAAAACTGCAAGTCGTCGCGACTTCGTCTATGTTAAATTAAATAATTTATTTCATGTCCCATTAACACTAAAAGTCGGTAATTGTGGTGGTGTCATCCTACTCAATTTTATAAGTTACTAAAAAAAAAAACGAATTCGAGAGACCACAAATTTCTAAAATCAAAGTTTAAAATTTACTCCCGATCACTTCCATTAGTTTTAAATTATATATAATATCTGTGACGATTCTGCGTAATTCTTTCACAATACTGCAGGCGTATGTTAACAACTTTATCGATAAGACGCACATCAATATTATAGAATATAAGATTGATCTCTCGATTAAAAGGCTCGCTAGAGATAGAGTTATGCAACAAGCTTCCTGAAAATCCATAGGCTATATAAGGTTAGATAACTTCAATTACAAGTTTTATTCGAGTCAGTAATAAAGTCATTTTTGTTTTATCTGGCAGTCAGGAAAAATAGTGATGTTGCACAATCGATCATTTTATGATTATCGATCATTTCACAAGCAGAACACGGACTCTGCTTCTAGAATTAAAAATTGATTTAAACGAAATATTACTGTAAAATCTTGTTGATAACTCATTCATTATGCATTAAATGAAACTGTCCGAATGAAGCTAATTTTTATAATAAAAATAAATCCCATGGAAAGGAAAATAGGATGTTTATCTGATTTTAAAAACTTTTTTAATTAAGAATTTTGATTGAATATAATAATAAAGTCATAATATCAAGTCATTCATGATATAAGAATGGCTATTATATCGCCAAACCCTTAGATGGCGTTAATGCTAAGTATTATTTCATAATAACTATTTTTTTTAATTATTCTTTTATTTTAAGGGGTTTTTATCCGTTTGAACATGGCAATATAATTTATCATTTTTATATTTAAGGAATTTTTAAATATACAGACGTCCAACTCAAATAATAATTGATATTAAAGTCAATTGAAACACCATGACGTTTTTCCTGAAATAAAACGCTTATTAAATACTTACCTTATTTGAAACTTTATGGTTTGAGATAGGCTCTATGGTTTCCTGCTTGCCTATTTGCCTCTCTTTCTACATATTTTGCCTTTCACTCGCACATCTGACGTCTACTCGACCACCAGGCAGGCTTTGCGCGCTTGCTTCATTGAGTCGAAAAACCCACCAGGCAGCATTTAAATTAAAGTTTCAAATAAGGTAAGTATTTAATAAGCGTTTTATTTCAGGAAAAACGCTGTCATTAAACACTTGACCGTTATTTGAAACTTTATGGTTTGAGACGTGTTTGTTATCGCCTGGTGGAGATGAACGACGCCAATGTGACATTAGACATGAAAATGGATTTGAAAGAAAATTACACAATTGTTTGTTTCATATTATAGAGTTCGATATACGAGGTACAATCTTTGTATCAAATTAAATAAGCTTGATATTATGTAGCAAAGACTTACTTAGTTATTAAGTCAATGCAATTTGTAATAATTACTAAACTGAAAGTAGTACAAAATCAGTGATGTTGCTTAAATTTATATAATTAATCAATTTGTAATTGTTACAAAAGTATTTATAATATTTTGATTCGTACTATAGCTGAAGTTGGAAACGTTCACGTTTATAAAATTTTCTAAAAGTATTTTCAGATCTCCAGTTACTACGAGATATAAGATTTCGTCGACTGAAAGATTATTTGTCGATCTTGTAATAGGTTCATACATTTATTTACCCAATAAACGGGATCGAGATTTTTATTGCTTGTATCTGTCATTATTTTCCAATCCGATTGCCTGCAGTTAGAATTATCAGATTTAGATCCAAACCTAGGCCATAAATCAATCAATCAATCAATCATTTATTGCATTAAAATATGGGGTAACAGACGTCATAAAATAAGGGTATCACATATTTACTGTTTGATAATGTGCAATAGTTTTAGTAGATATATAAATTTACATTTTAAAATAATGTAGTCGTCATTTCTCTTAAAATGGTCAAAATCTACTGCTAATAAAGTAAGGTCATGAACTCTACGACCTAAACAAAGTCATATTGCAGTGTGTCCAGAGACTAAGAATTTGCTTTCTTTGTCAAAGTATAATGTTTTAAAAAAGACATAAGATTATTATCAACATCCCAAACAGACGTTTTGTGTGTTACGGGGTTTTTAAAAGAAATTGACGTAACAACGTGTCGAATAAACACGTGAGAACTATGGGAACCTGATAGTTCTGTATTACACAACGTGGATATTACGTAACAATACTGTGTTATAAATAAGAGAATAATTCTTTAAGGTATAAATAAGCTAAAAACCTTGCTTATACTGAACCATTACGTTGAAAAGCATTAAACTTATGTAGCTTGTTCCATTTAAGCCATCTAAGCCAGGCTGCCCTATATGTCTTGCGCGTAGATGAACGCCATGATGATTGTAAAAGATTGAGCTGTCAGTTACGTTACTTGACCAGCCCTACAAATCCACACTACCAATATCATCTCTTGTACTTTCGAAGATGGAAAAATTCGTTGAGGTATCTATCAGGTAACGACTTAGGTGGGGTATGGTAAACGGTGGAACCAATGCTCTGGATTTCAGACCTGCTCACCAAATTACTCGATCCCATTGACGAAATAAGTGCCTTGAGCTTTGTTGAGGTGACTAAATTCTTTGAAAATTAGATAAGGAGGAAGGAAAATCCAACCTTTCGCATAGTTCTATTAACGGGAAAAAGCTCCGTGATAAATTGAATAAACATCGTTTTGGTCCAAAAAACATAATTCGCAACGACATGAGCAGTCTTTGATGCAAATAAATCTATCACAGGCACACCAAACTTTTTGAACACAATTTCTGCACATGCAGGTAGAAGATGCCACTCTGGTGGTAATCAGAAACGAGATAGATGATCTGCATGGCCGTTGTACCTTCCCGGTATGTGATACACAATTATTCAAATTAAATGCAGCTTCATTAACTGAAAGTTTTGGTAAGCCATATTTATCAGAGATGCGGATTTTGTTCCACCTTCGTTTCGAATGTAAGCAATAGCTGTTTTGTTGTCGCTTTGCCATAGAA